GTACACCGTGGCGAGGCCGGACCCATCCGAGCTCGAGGCCGTGGCAGGGGAGTGCGTATTGTTGGACCCGGTGCCGCCGTTGCCGATGCCCGAGTCCTCGGAGGGCGGGTACATGTACCCCGGGAACTGGTTGGGGTCGGTGCCGTACGTGAAGCCCGCGACGGCAGGCTGCTGCCGCTGCGCAGGCGGCACGGCCAGCGGCGCCTCGAGGACCTTGAGCTTCTTGCGCTGGTTGGTGTCCGCGCCCCGGAGGGCGCCGTGGGCGCGCGGCAGCTTGCCCGACAGCCGGCGGAGGATGTCGTAGGGCGTCTTGGCCGTCTCGGTGGCGGTCGTGAGCCTCTTGAGCGTGTGCAGCGCCAGGTCGATGGCCTTTGTGACCTCGTCCTTGCGCGGCAGGGTGCCGGCCTCGTCGTGCAGCACGGCCGACACGAGCAGCGTCGCCGTGTCGAAGATGCAAAAGGGCACAAAGTGAAACGTCGTGTCGCGCGACCAGACGTACTCGAAGAACTCGTGCACGGCGCCCATGAGCTTGAGGGCGTACTTGACGCCGTTGCTGCGCAGCGTCAGCTCCACCTCGGGCGTGTCCTTGGTCACCGTCTTGGCCATGTGCGGCCGCAGCGGGCCGAGCGTGACGGAGAAGGCTATGGTGTGGACGTAGTGTCGGTGGAGGGCAATCCAGGGGTACTTGACCTCCTGCTGGCGGTCCGTGTCGACAAAGGCGTACGACGGCGGGAATGTCTGCATCCAGCTCTCGAGGATGTCTTGGTACTCGAAGATGTCATTGGGCTCGGTCAGGTACTTGGGAGGACCGAAGCGCTTGAAGATGCGGGCGACGAGCTCGGACTGCAGCTTCATGTGAAGCAGCGGCGAGGTAGGGTAATCCTCGAGCGTCAAGCTCGGGAGGCCAACGTCGCAGTCGGAACGATCGATGAGCATGGGTCGCGCGAGCAGAGCCGAGACGAGCCTGGCAAGTGAGCGCCAAGATCCTGAAGCTTCTTGAGATTTCATAACTTACCAGTCCCAGGCATCCAGGAGGCACCAGAGGCGGCGACGCATCTCGCGCTCAAAGTCAGGGATTCCCGTGGCTTCCCTATGGAGGTCTGGTCTTGCTATCAGCATGCTACGCTTGATATCGTATACCATTCGCACATCACTCACCGAGGTTCTGTCCCTCGCGAATAGCCGCACCCAAGACGTGCCAGCACTCGACAAAGCGTGCCTCGGCCTTGAACCAGTAGCATGAATGCAAGAGGTACTGCACCGTAAACATGTGCGTGTTGCCAACGGGGATGGCGCTATGAAGCTCTCGCGCGGCATCGTGGTAGAGATCTGTCAGTTGCTGGACGGTACGGCCAAGGTCGGCCTCGAGACTGGCGCCCATCTCTGCGTCGGTGTGCTGAACCGAACAGGCGCAGACCATGATGAGAAGACAGGTCCATGGAAGGCCAAGCGGCCGGTTGGCGGCACGGTCGGCCCACCATTCATGGTACTCTGTGAGGAAGTTGGGCGGGTACACGATGTAGTAGTAGTAATTGACGTTGCTGAGAAAGTTCTGGATCATCGAGTCTGTGAAGGGTCAGCCATGACATGTTCTCAAATGGGAGGCACGCCCACATTTTAATAGACTTACCGATATATGGTCTCGGGGGTAGGGTCTGGAGAGCGCGCTGAAGCTGCGGGCTCGTTTTGGGGTCCAGGTAGTATTGCTTCGGAGTCTTGCTCTTCTTGCCCTGTAATGGTCAGCACAATGAGCTCCCTGGTGGGAACCATTTGTTCTGAAAAGCTCAGGACAACGAAGTGAAATAAAAGCGAAAGACATACATCAACATCAGGACCCAGACCCAGATTTGCGAACAGATGCGAGGCCGTGTAACCCACGGCATCGATGCCTTCGCCGTCATCAAACTCATCGTCATTCTCCGTCTCGGCGTAGCTCTGCTCGCGCTTCCGCTTGACTTCCGTAGACGGCGTCCAGGCACTGATGGGCGGAGGATCTGGGTTGAACTGGCACTTGTCGGCCACCTTGCGCTTCTGACAGTGGTTGCATGGCCATTCCCGATTGCACTTGTCGTATGATTTTAGTACGGATTGGTCGTTGGAACAGAGTGGGAAATCATGCTTACCTTTTGCTTACGACGCTGGCATTCGGAGCAGGCGGACCGGCTATAGCTGCCATCTTTTGGCTCTTCAAGAGAGATTCCTGGTGCCATGTTGGAGTTTGCTTGATTCCCAATGCTTCGGTTCCAAATCACATCCGTCTCTCGACAACTGAAGAAGATGAACGTCCTGAGCGCTGTCACTGACGGACTAGAATTTCAGATGATCAGCAAAGAAAAAAAGACCAGACGTACTAGGACGATGGGGGTCACAAAATCCAGACACGAGTAGCAAGGACACTAGTGCCCATGGGAGGGAGCGGCAGGCAGCTATGTCAAGGCACTAGGTAAGGTAACACAAGACAAAGTGAGGGGTAGCGCTCCCGGATGACGATCGCCGCCCACACGTGATGGGGCTAGAGGAATACTATGTACAGCGATCGCGACCCCGGGGGCCCCTGTAAGTCTGGATCGCCCCGGGGGCGGCCATGGCAGGCAGAGGGCCTGTCTCGCACGAGGGGCTACCCTGTAGCGCCGTGTAACCGTTGACCCAACGCAGACGACGCTGCAGCGGATCGCCACCCGTTGGATGCATCCAGCAGGGGAGGTTTCGTTCAGGCGGTCCCAGGTGGTCCCAGGGTCGCTGCATGCGACGTCAGCCACCACTCTGCCCTACCCGGTCACGATATTCCAGCCCTGTCTCAGCCGCTATTGGGGGGCAGCCAATGCATGGTGTTCATCGTTGTGATGAGGGAGGGGAGGGGCCGACAGGACCTCTGGTTGGTGACGCCGCCCCAGGATTTAGGATTTAGGGGGCTCAGTAACAGCAAAAGCAATGTGCGAGACACTGGTCCGGGCAGACGACAAATCAGGACTGGCTAGGCGAAGCCAAGGAAAAAGCCGTTGCTAGTTCTCGAGGCAGAAGAATAGAGGGGGCGTCGTCTAGTTCGTCTGGATTTCTCAACATTTGGAACCAAGGAAGGGTACGGTGCTCAGTAGTGCAGCTGGAGATGGGGATAGGGGCTCTAAAATCCGGAAAGGCCATCGTCTTGCGCGCGCCCTGTGACGGCAGAACCCGTCCGCCAGCTGAGGGTTTTACATATTCGCTGCTTGTCGCTATTTATGGATAAGCAAGCGCCAAGCTGCTTCGGTTTAGTGCGTGTTGCCACCAGCGGGATGTCCGTACTATAGACTTTATCTTGCGGGTCTTGGCTGCGTCCTACTTTGAGCGCTTCCGGTTTAAAATGCGAACACAAGCAGGACGAGAACGAGGCGTGGATTTATAAGGAGACATCCCGCTTTCCAAGGCCACTTGGACCTAGGGCAAATGCGGACATGGCCAAAGAGGGTGATCTGATCAAGGCCAAAAAGTCCCAACTCTGCGGATCACTGCACTACTCCCGACGGTGTAGCTAGCTTCACAGGTCCTAAAATAGGAACTCGCCAGATGTTCTAGAACCCAACACAACTGCCGGCCGGCCGGATCAGGGACGAAAACTGAAGTGATCACTTGGCGAGCCTGGGTGAAATCACGACTTCTCGTTCGCCAAAGTTGATAGTCTGATAGATCATTAGCTAGGCTCAATTCTACTGTTGTTCCACTCACAATCCATACCTTGCTTGAGCCTTTCCTCATGAGAGGAGCAGCACCAGGGCTGGTTAAGTGGCCAGGGAATCTTGCGCATTCAGTCTGTTGCTTTTTGTATATCACTCTGTGAACTGGCATCCGCCCGGCCCACCGGTTGACAGGCACATATTCCAGGCCTGTCGTCGAGATGCCATCTTGACGAACCCTGGCACCGATAATTTTCGGCCAGCATTCAAATCCGATTACCGGGCGACTGGGCCGCCAAGTCCAATGATTCGCGATGGCCTGCAGATCAATCCTCCACGTCGTGCTCGTAGACGACAGGCGGCGCGGTGGACACTAGTGGAAACCCGGGTGGTGAAAATCGTTATGCCAAAACTGCGATCTTGTCACCCAACTCAAATGAGTCGGAAATGCACCTTTCAGAGGAATGTCGGGTTGCGCGCTAGCTGTCAATTCGAATCATCGCTTACTAAATCGGCATCAATACGACCATCTTTGCAATAATGCCGTGTCGGTAACACAGTCGAGCTCTTTGAAGACGTTCCTCCATGGTCTCCTCCTCTGCGTATATATGCGGGAGGTTCCGAATGCATACCGAAGTATTAGCTAGCGACACCTAAAAGACAGACTCGGAAGTTCGACGCACATCATACTGGTGGCCAAGGTTCGACGCCGAGATGCTGGTCAACTAAGGTCCTAAAGGTGCCCAGATAGACCTACTCACACTGAAAACCCCTTTAAAAAGCATCTCTCGGACAGGGTACACTAGACAGCCGCTCGGTCTAGAGCTGCTCTCCCTCATGCACTCGATTGGCTGCTCATCAAAGTCTGCCGCGTTGCGTATCTATGCTACGCAATTCAGACACGGCCCAGCTGTCGACATGCTCTTCAGCCCTACACATACTCTTTCTGCCAAATCATCCCCATTAACATGATAACCTGCTGCGCTCGATTGGCTACAGTCCCTATGCCATCTTTAGATCGAGGGCACATCCCAGGTTCCTCAACGGCAGTGGACGCCCCGTGCCGTTCGCCTCATGTTAGCATTGTTGTGGCTACATGCGAGCATTCGGGAATAGGCCGAGAGCAGGTTGGCATGCACTGGGCGTCATCAGGCGACGACTCTATTGGGATTCTCGCCAGCCCCAGAGGCTGATGGTCGCCAGCAGGACAAAAGGCACGCTGTGTCCCTCAGGAGCATTTTTTTCTTGTTAGAAAAAAAAAACCCCATTCATCAGCTTGCAATTTGTGGCACGGTTTCGGTCCTCGCTGAGACTTCACAGTATAAGGCTTTTCCACAACACGCATACATCATGATTCAGGCGATGCAAAGATCACTCCCCTCAAGTCCGGCCAAGCGCCTGCTCGTACTGTCGCTTCTGTCTCTGCTGCTCACCAATTCGATGGCCCAGGACGTGACGCAGGGGCCGCTCGCTCCCGTCAGCCTGGGCTCGTACACGGAGCTCGCGACGGCGCGAGGCTGTGCCGCGGCGTGCCTCGTCTACAACGGCATCTGGGTGTGCGGCGTCAACGCGGGCTACGATGACCTGGGCGTGGCGCTCGAATGCGGATGCGCGTCGATCAACGGCTGCTACTGTAACGCCGGACTCGCGAGCTCGGCGACGGCGTATCTCTCACGCTGCGTTAGCAGTCGATGCGCCGAGTCGGTGGAGAACTGGACGCAGGAGGTGGCGGGGATGCTGGGGATCTACGAGGGGTACTGCGCGACGGCGCTCGAGGCAGGAGAAGGGACGGCGGCGGCGACGACGACGACGACGACTTCGAGAGCCAGGACGACCACTGGAGGAGCGACTGTTGCGACTGACGCGACGAGAAGTGCGCTGACGAGCGGAGGGGCGGAGGAGACTTCGGCCACAGAGAACGGTGCGACGGAGAACGGTGGGGCAGGCGAGGGCAAGACGGACGGAGGTCTCAGCAAGTCAGACATTGTGGCCCTCGCTGCGAGCCTCGGTCGGGATCCCGAGTCTCATCGTCGCGTTGGTGACGCTGTGTATCCAGATGAAGAAGCGGAAGAGGAACGCTGGCGTGACGGCGACCGAACAGCACCAACAAAGCGGAGCTCACGTCGTGCCGCACACGGGAAAGCCTGCGGAATACCCCTCTGAAAAGCCTGTCGAATACAACCCTGACGGAAAGGCTGATGGACCGCAGGCGTGGAAGGCTACCAAGACGGGTTTCCATGGCGCAGAGATGCCGCAGAATAGTCTGCCGTCCGAGCTGCCAGGAAACAACAGCTGGCAGAAGGGGTACTGAGGGGAGAATCTTGCTGAGAGAAGAACCGATCTCGTCGTCTTGCGATTTCGTATTCATTCTCGCGGAATTTGAGGATTGAACGGATACCAGGCGCTGGCGCTTGCTTGTTCCTGAGGCTGATCGTGAGACCAGGAGGGAGGGGTACCGTAGGTGGCACACCCAGACCAAACGGCACGTCCCCGCCATGGCGGTCGAGCATGGGTCGTGCAGCGTGTTGACTACTCGTGCATGTGTGGTTCGAGATGATCGATTCTTTTTTCTTGTCCGGCAGAAGCAAGAAGAGTGACGCCGATGAACTGTTGGTGCGTTGATGCGTTGATGCATGGACGAAGGCATAGTTGAGGATTGTTGACGGAGAATGACTGACCATGCTGTGGCGCTTAGCACGAAAAGTCATAGCCACAGTGACAGGTCCCTGTACAGCCACAGTGACAGGGATGTAGTCCGTGTGGATCGCACATTGCCAACCAGGAGAAGGAGCAGCCGTCGAGCGTTCCTGCCCCAAAGTCGCCAACCCAGCCTCGTCCATAACATCACCAGCCCTCCATCACTGCAGTCTCTGCAAAGACAGACATCACCAGCCCGTGCAGTCTCTGCAAGACAGACACACCAGCGTCGAGCAGCAGCCGAAACACAATGTGCTGCCCAACGGCTCCCAACATGGCCCATGCCAATACGATGCACAGGCCCGGTGGCAGTCTCGGCCACAAGCACATGCACTGTCTCGCACTGTATCACAGCAACGCGGGTACCCGTGTCTCACGACCTCATTTCCAGCGCCAAAACATACATTGAGGCCAAGCCACCGTACATTCCTGCCTCGCCATCCAACCCGCCAGACAACGATACGACCGGTATCATGGCGCCGTCGACGAAGCGCAGCCGACCGGAGATCGTGCCGAATCCTTCCACAGAGCGGGCTCAGCCGGCGACTGCACCTCTGCCGCCGTTGAGCTCCAAAACCGTGCCAAGCTCCAAAGCTGCCCCAGCGCCGCCAGGGGCCCCGAAGCGCCTCATCATCACTTGCGATGGCACATGGATGGACGTGAGTGCCTTTGGATTTGCAACCAAAGAAACATGTACTAATTCTTTCGCAGTCACTCGGCGAGAAAGGGTGAGTGAGGCGACCTCGCAACCTTGACTCTTGACATGTCATAAACTCTAACGTCACACCCAGCGGCGACCCCCAGTCAAACGTGACCCGGATCTCACGCGTCCTTCGCCGGACATGCCAGAATGGCATGCACCAGATCATCGCCTACAACCCAGGTGTTGGTAGTGGTAATGCGCTCGACCGTGTCACTGGCGGCATGCTAGGCGTGGGCCTTGAGCAGGCCATTCGCGAGGTCTACAATTTCATCTGCACCAACTACGTAGATGGCGATGAGATCGTCCTCGTCGGTTTCTCGCGCGGCGCTTTCACGGCCCGGTCCGTGGCTGACATGGTCGCCTCGATCGGCCTGTTGACGCCTGCCGGCCTCGACTACTTTTTTGCCATTTTCGACGATTACGAGCACATGGGCAGCTCCAAGCGTGCCCAGGAGGACTTTCTCTGCGACGATCTGCCTCCTTATGCAGGACAGCTGGGCGAGGACAAGTTGCGCTGGGAAGCCCATCGTAAAGACATCTACAGGCGCTGGCTCAAGACGGTGAGTGATGGATGACTCTGTGCCGCGCTTTGGCCGTTGAAAGACTGACAGGCTCCGAGCTTGGCTACACGCGAGACACGCATGCCGATGGCAGGACCCTCATCACGATCAAGGCCCTCGGGGTCTGGGACACTGTTGGCACTCTCGGCGTCCCTCCTGTACCCATCATTGGTGTGGCCGGATCATCTGACCAATACGTCTCCCCTCGAACTCCCCGCTCTGCCGCGCCGCACCTGCTGACCGACTAGATACGTGGAAGTTTACCAACACGGAGGTCTCAGATCGGGTTGAGAACGCCTTCCAGGCCCTCGCCCTCGACGAGCCGCGATTTGCCTTTCGACCTGCCCTCTGGGAGCGCGTCCGCGAAAACCGCACCAATCTGAAGCAGGTCTGGTTCCCTGGTAATCACGGCGGTGTTGGTGGCGGCTGGCACGATCAGCAGATCGCCACCATTTCGCTGGCCTGGATGTGTGACCAGCTGTCGACAGTAGGGATTGAGTTCAGCCTTCCTCGCATGACTGAGGTCTTCCTCGAAGGTCTTCGTTACAATGCCGCCCATCCTTTCCCCGTCGTTGGTACGACGAGCCCGCTGCCTGCGTGGGCTTCCTTCTTGTGGCAGCAGCAGCCCAAACTTCTGCCCTGGGGCTCCCCGGACGTCTGCCGCGCGACACACATCGTTCGCGATGAGACAGACCACGACGACGCCACATGCAAGCACTCCCGTGCCCGCCCTGAGCAGTACTGGCAGACGGCGCGGCCGTGGGCTCTGGGCCAGATCCGCGCCCCTACGAGCCGTCTGCAGATGATGGCTGGCGAGACGGTGCGCAATCCCGGGCTCTTCATGCGAGCCGACTGTGACACGAACAAGGACACCGACCAGCCACTTCTCAACACAAACGAGCGCATTCATAGCTCGGTGCGTGTACGGCTCGCGTGCGAAGGTCTCGGCCTCGATGACGGAGAAACCTGGAGGTGCAAGTCACTGAGCGGCGGCTCGCGCAGTGGCCGACAGATCTGGCGGTTGGCGCACGGGTCTGCTTTTCGGCCGGCGGCAGTGGACGCCCTACGCATGTTCCGCCCCAGGGAAGTGGAGCTAGGGTATCCCGCCGAGTACCTGTACCCCGTCGACGAACGCGATGGCCAGTGGCAATGGGTGTTTGATCAAGAGGGGGACATCACGGGCGCTGGTCATGAACGGGTGCCGCAGGCCCTGGTCCTGCCAGAGGAGCCGATGATCGGTTATTGGGAGAAGTACCTACTGGCTCTCACCTCGGGCTATCCTGATGTCTGGCGGTATGCTGAGAAGCACCCTCCTTTTGCCTATAACTGAGCGGCGAGGGTCTTGTTTATGCTGGGGCATGTTTTGATACCACTTGAGCGATGCGCCTTGTTAGGATTGCATGTTTTCTTGCCATTGGTTATTCTCAGTATCTAGTCCAGCTTACACTTTGTACTACATGTAAACACGATTCCATCTGCCTGAGCCCCACCGACAGCCTTCGAACACGCAAGCCCTTTATATCTAGTATTTTGTTGCACCTGCTTAGATCCTAGGAAGGCCAAATCAGGACAGCTTTTGTAGTACACGCAAGTCTTGTACTTCTTGCTGCCACGTTGTTGCCGTTCGTGTTCTTCTGGGAAGGGCGGCGTGATTCTTGTGCAAACCATCTTCCCCAGGGAAATGTGCCATATAATCGTAGCTCGTGATATAAGGCCCGAACCTCTCACCTGCATCGTATACGTATCATGGCCCCGGAGTACACATTGCAGCAGGACACCTTCAGTCGAAGCTCCGTCTCCGCTGGTGCCCGGGGCGGAGCTATCTGAAATTTTAAGGAGAGAGCCAGTATTGGCATCGTGGCCATACCTCCTTCACCTGAAACCTGCAGGCTAATAGAGTCAGAGTAGAAGCTCAATCACACGTAGGGATAAAAAGCCTGGAGATGTGACGCCAGGGCAGGCTTGGGAGCCAGGCTCCCCAAAACATGAACCCTTGTCCGATGCTGGGCGAGGCGGGGTCGGCATGAATAGGGGCCACCAATACGCCTCGTCGACGAAAATTCGCCCATCCTGTCGACGACCTGCATAGCCTCCGAGGCAGGACAAAACATGAGAATCCTGTATACTGGCGAGCCGGAAAAATAGCATTTGACCGCTTGTGCGGACCAGGTGCCTCCGACTTGCACCGGATGTATCTGGTCCTGCTTTTTGCCCGCGATATCGGCACCACGGACGGGCCAATCTTACTCCACAGCGAGATCGTCTGTCTCAATCATGGGCATGCAAGGGTGCGCCATCCCGACGCCACGGGCGAGCTAAAGTTTAACCACACAGTACTCAATCAAGACATGAACGAGCTGGGTGATTTCGAACGGCAGGATGCGGAAGAGCTCGTCTCAACGGGAACCCTGAATCGAGTCTCCGCCGGGTTAACAGGAGGTCGCCAGCGTCTATAAGACGGTCCTGTCTCGCCACCGGCCATCACGCCATTGCTCATCGTGAGCCTCATCCCCAATCTCCACCCATCGTGCGACGAAGAACCAAAACGACGACGTCGCTTCGAGTCAACCAAAACCCAGCAGCAACCATGGTCTCGTTCCAAACCCTCCTCCTCCTCGCGGCCACCGCCCTCTCGGCGACAGCCCTGCCCAGCACCAGCGCCAAACCCCCGGGGAACCCCCCCCACGAAGACCCCTGCGCCACGGTCCGCTGCGGCTTCAACACGGTCTGCGAAGCCGTCAAGGGCAGGGCGAGGTGCGTGCCCGGCACCAAGTGCGGGCCGACCATGTGCGGCGCGGGCCAGGTGTGCTGCAACGCGAGCTGCGGCATCTGCACGCCGCCTGACGGTGCTTGCATTCAGATCTTCTGCGACAGTGCCAGCAAGTTCTGAATGTCGTGACGGACACGGGGTGCTGCGAGACCAGGACGAAAAACTGATGGGCATGGGATGATGGTGGGGAGCCGGCTGGTGGGCAGTGCGGGCAGTGAAGGGGCTGTGGGCACTCTATTAAAGTTGACGTGCGAGATTAAAATAAAACATGGAATCATCTGGCGTTATTGTGTGGCGGCTGTGAGGCGCATGCATAATACCTCTCGAGCATGAAGGCGCGTTGTTCGTTTTAGTTTTAGCCTGTTCTGCCTCAGATTAGGCGTCGGGTGAGGCTGGGAAATCCTGACCATGTGCCTAGTAATTGAATGATTGAATGATCAAGAACGGGAGAGCCAACGAGTCAGATACCACGACGTGAAATATTTCGCTGCATCAAGAGGTCGTTGGTCCTGGTGCATGCTAACACTTGTCGAGACTCGAATGTATCATCTTGCTTTGCCGACTTGGCTGAGCCTGGATCTACTAGGGCCGGATGAAAGAAACAATTAAAGATTCTAGATTCTATAACTTCTATCCGTACAAGGAGGTACAAAGATCTGATACTCTATCCACGACCACAGATGAAAACTCAAGCAAGCCAGGCAACCAACGAGGAATAGCAGAAAGCCACTATGAAAAGAGTTAAAAAGGAAAAGAGGAAGACATCTCACTTCCGAAGAAACCTCAGAACGAGGAATGCCAGAACCCTGTAGACCACGATGATGCTGATCATGATTCCCACACGCTGCCCAGTCTGGCCACGAGAGATGTTCAGATTCGACAAGACAGCCCCTCCGTCAATCTTACCCTGAGAGTTCAGTTCACTGGGGTACATGCAGCTGAATGACCCGTCCGCAGCACGGCCGCAATCGTATGTCGCGCTCTCAAACTCGTTGACCATCATGCCTTGGAAGACGTAGGCCTGGTAGTCGATGTAGTGGAAGACGTATTTCCAGAACACATTTAGAATGTTCATCGGGACAAGGAAGCCGCCGACGCACATCCACAAGCCGTTAGCAAAGGCGGTGATGGCCAGAGACACGACGAAGATTGGGAAGATGCTCGAGACCAAAACGACAAGAGATTCGGCGGCAAGGAGATCCAGGAAAAGCCACATGACAAAAGTCATGAACGCCGAACCGTCGGAGCGCATACCGACGAGCCAATACGCGACAACCGAGAATAGTATCGTGATGAGGAAGAGAAACGGAACGCCGATCAGGAAATTGGCCAAAATGAAAGAGGAGGGGCCAACTAAACCGTTGGCCCTCTCCTTTTGGAATGTCATGAGGTCCTCCAGGAAGGCCGGCACGTATGCAACGGCCATGAACGAGATGAAGGCACCGCTAAAGAACATGGCGTTGATGTAAGGTTGAATGTACTCCTGAGAGTCTCCGAGTTGCAGCCACACTGTACCCATCATGATTGCCAGGCCAAGATACATGACGATGCGTATGCCATAGGCAACAACATCGCGATATGCCTTGATCCAGGCACGTTGTAAGAGGGTCAGCGGGATCATATAGGGTCGAGGCCTCGGCAGCTTGATGGACGAAACGTCGAGTTTGGACATGGTGCTCGACTTTTGAATCTCTTCAGTAAGCGCGCGTCTCTTTTCGCCCTCAAGCCAAGTATCGCTGATATGCTCTGTACGTTTGAGCACCTCTCCATTCTTGTCAAGATCAATGTTGATGAGATCGAGAAAGAATTCGGCTGGGTTCGTCATGGCCGGGATTGGGTACCCAATCTCTTCAAAGTATCTTGGTGCATCTTCTATGGAACCGAAATAGCACGTTCGACCTCGGGAAAGAAGATTAAGCTTGTCGAACAGCTGGTAAGTTGTCGTTGAAGGTTGGTGAATGGAAGCAATGATGACGAGCTTTGCTCAACGTTAGCACCCATCAAGTTCTCCGCAAATTGGGTTCGTCACCTACATTGTTCCGCTTGCCTATGTCCTTGATATGCTTGATGACCTCGTAACTCAGAGCCGAATCGAGACCACTCGTGGGCTCGTCCAAGAACAGCACCTTGGGGTAGGTCACCAGTCTGCTAGCGACACCAAGTCTCTTCTTCTGGCCACCGCTGAGTCCCTTTTTGATGGGAGTGCCCACAATTGTATGTGCTTGGGACTGTAAACCGAAGCTTCCAATGAGCTCATCGACACGACGGAAGGCTTCGGCTTTTGTCACATTTCTGGCCGGGTCAGTTGATATCCTTTCGATCGGGGTTCAACGTGACGTGGCTTACCTGGGAAGAGCGAGTTGAGCAGCGAAGATCATAGTCTCCCTGACAGTCAAGCTGCCAATGAGCGCATCTTCTTGTTCGACATATGCAGAAATGCCTCGAAGGGTGGTCGTGTCAATTCGAATACCGTTGACACATATGTCGCCTGTAGTGGTGGCCCCAGAAGCAGCTACACGATGCGCAAGCGTGTTGAGTAGCGTTGTCTTGCCAGAGCCACTGGGTCCCATGATGGCCAGCATTTCGCCTGCATTGACAATACCCGCAGGCTTGGTCAGGATCGAAAGTGGCTTTTTGGTCACCCTGTCCTTTACCATGACGCTGATTTCTGACCACGAGAGGTTATCGACAACATCGTTGGTGGGCCTGTACGACGACGATTGGCCGAGCTCGATATCTTGTTCTGACTCCATTGATTTGAACCTGGAATTTGGGTAGAATGATTATGGTGATGGAATTTTCTACGAAAGAGAGTGTGAGACGAAGACGAAGAAGGTGGCGCTCATTCTTATACCCTAGATTATGAAGCCTGCAGTGAGCATCGCCGACCTATACTGAGAGCACAGGAGTCCGGGATCTCGGGCTTTCTACTTACTGTAACGTTGAGTAATGCCCACAAGGCTGGGAATGTAGGGGCGACCTGGCAGCAGTGGGACTTAATCCCTGATGACAGGCGTCGTAACCCATTTCGGGGAGGCTCTAGACGGATGAAGATCCAGGACGCCGACTCGATGTGGAGACACTCTCAGAGCTGGGTGCCCGTGGCAAGATCAAAGCCGAATCTGGCCATTGATTACTGGCAGCTCAGTGATTCAATCATGCAGCGATCCCACGTCAGCACAGCCTAAACGAGCTGAATGACGGCGAGATCGATTGCCAAGCTCCGTTCAACTGGGTCTCCAGGCTGGTGTGCAAGTTCGCTACAGACCGGCAGCGTTTTACCTCTACATATGAACCTTTACTCTCCGATAGACGCAGGATATTGCTAGACAGTTGCACGAGAGCCGCACAGGCAGAGTCAGAGGCTGGAATACCAGCTGCAGGGCTGCCGAAATGTAGCTTTGCGCGGAGTCAGGGACTCTTCGTGCGCGAGGTGAGAACCAACGAGGAGCTGAGACTGGGGCGGGGACCTTCGGCGACCAAGCTGTGCTAGTGATTGGGCCCCAGTTCCCCGAAACAGTGATAACTTTCTCGGCTTCCATGTTGTGATTTGAACCTAGTTGCCGCCCCGGAGAGCATCTGGCCACGTCTCCCGGGAAAAGCATAAACCGAATGGCGCGTCAATTGGAAACGCAGTTGCGAGGTGAAGGAACCGTCTTGATGTTTTTGAGCACCAGTACGAGTCAGACAGTCGGCGTTTGGCACCAGAGCGAACAGAACGGGATTTGAGCCTGAACGTTTGTCAGCAGTTAAGAGGCTACGTGAACCCAAGTTGCTACGAATGGTCGCCGTCGTGAATTACAATTGTCCATGACTTCTCAAAGGTCGTCGCGACATCTTCTTCAAGCCCAAATAAAGTACCTTACCTGACATTGGTCAACCCCGAGAATGTATTGCTTAGCGTTGGGCAATCGGGGCCTCGGAATATGGTAAACCGACGACTGCCCGCGAAGTTTTTTTTAAGCGTGGAGAACCGGAATACCATGATTTGTTTGATGAATGATACGCGATGGATAACAGCATAGTTCTTTTTTATTTCCTCCATTTGCCATTGGGGTGAAAATGTCGGAGCGTGATTGTAAACAGAGTGAAGTTTTCTTCCACAGGTTGCCACCTGTTAGGTGGCCCCTACGGAGCCACGGAACAGGGGGCTGGCCAGGGGCTAAGGAATACGAGAGCGTATATCTAAGGACTGCGGAGGGCCCTCCCAGCTGTGAAGGCCAAGAAATTTAGATGTATCACGACCCCATACCTATTATCTATTGCATGCGAACCACGTGCGGAAGACCTCTTCACTTTACTTAACCAATGCTCTGACAACACCGCAATCATCGATAAAATACATGGCACCAGGAGCTCGTGAATCTGGCCTTCAGCAGCTGCAGGGTCGCCCGCGCTCTGATAAACTCACACAATAATGTGCCTCCGTATTTTCTGCGCATCCAGATTAGCTGCTTCAGTCTTCTGCCTCACAGTCATTCGCTGATGCCCCCCTGTTAGTAGCGTTCAGGGGAGTGGAGGGCGTTGGTACAGCGGGGTTGCATTAATCGATTGTTGTGCATGTAAAAGCGTACAGATGCAGACCGTAATGGTAAGGAAATCTTTGCAGTTCAAAAGCCTTTCTTAGACTCGGACTTTCAAGAACCTTGTTCATAATGTCCGAGAGTGCCTTCCATCCACCCGTCTCAGCTCCCTTCCCAGGTTCGCAGGGACTGTTGCGGTCACAGGCAGGTGATGATTGATGCGGGTTGCCGGACGCATGGAAATCATGCTGTATCGTGTGCGGGTCTCTTAAGTCCAGGCCGACTAGTTTGCGAATTGAAATACTGTTGCCTGACAAGCTTGGGTCAAGTGTAGGATGCAGACCAAGTTGCCTATTGGAGTGACAAGTTGGGCCAGTTGGTCAAAGATCCAGAAACGGCCCGCCATAGTGGCGTCACAGCCTGGCTTACTATAAGCATCCATAGGCGATAGGCTCCGCACGCATTTTGCACGGAAAAGCCATCGTGTTTAAAACGGTACACAGTCCGAATTGGGATGGAATGAATTGCATATTTGGCAAAACTCCAATCAGAGCTGATATCCGGAGGCACCTGCGGAGCGGGGGCCTCGGAGGCTTTGATTAGGGGCTGATGGCATGGCAGCGCGTATATAAAGGCCATGGAGAGCCAGACTTCAGATGTATTCCAACCCCTACCTAGGAAATGACTGGGAATATCTCTTGTACAAAGCCTCTTCACTCTGCTCATCCCACCACTTTGACAGCCTGCTACCTAACCCTAGGGCCACTGGAACTCGGAAAGTCATGTCGATACTTTCTTGCCTCAAGTAGCAAGTCTTTTTCTGAAGATCCCCAAGTCGCTAGCCTTTGGACCAGAGGTTATGAGACTAGATAAGCAGCAGAGATGGGTTCGGTTCGATCTAGGCGCACGCATTTTGCCAAGTAAGTAGTCCAGTCAAGACCTCGAAACCTGGTTTTGTTTCATATTCAAATGTGAAGCATTCTTTCAAGGAGCCGCTCCGGCGGCTGACAGTCATTTTCGCGAGTAAGCGATAAAGACATGATGGGCCATCGGGGCACAATCAATAAGGCACCAGTATCGAAAGCGACAGGGCTTCTTTTGCCGAGGTAGACTGCTGACATAGCCAAATTAATCACAACCTACGGTAGCATCCGCAATGGAGGCAGACCGGCTCTTGAGCTGCCGGGCTGTCAAGTTGCCGGTTTCTTAATGGCCGGCCTATTAATCCACCGGGACTTCGGCTTAGCCGGAGGGTTTTGGCGAAAGACGATTGATTGACGCGGCCCCTTCCAGCATATTTAAGATTCAGCAAGTATGGGCCTGCTTCCACAATGCGTCCTATCAAAGGCCATGCCTCTAATTTACATTATCGACGTCGTATGAGCAGTAGTGATCAATGAAGATGCGTTTGTTGGTGTAACCACCATATGGCTTCGCATGAATCTTAAAACCCAGGTGAAATCCCACATTTTCCTGCTGCGATTTGGGCGTACTTCACACACAAATCGTCGCTACGACTTGGAATGTTTGATAACATGGATTACTTCAAATCATTTCCATGGTTCGATGCTCTGACGAAGGAGCCAGGTTTTGTGTCATTCACGCCAGTCAGCCGCTCGAATGGGACCTACGGCGACAATGAGCCCCCGAGAAACCAAATACTGCGCCAGACTTTCAACAACAGTGACACAATACCGCACTGCACCGGCTTCTACTTAAAAGAAGGTACCTCGCCGCATGCCGATGGACATGGAACCAAGCCGTCGGCGATCGATAAATCACCCATGAAGAGGCCCTCGATATTGTCCTGTTCCGTGGTCTATGACTTGCGTGCAGGGCTCAACGGATTCAACCATGGTCACCTCCAAGGCGGCTTGGTAGCGGTTCTGATGGACGATGCGATGACCAGCCTGACGGTGCTCAACGGCAAAACGCAGACCCGCTCTCATGGCGAAAGAGAGTTACCTGCGGAAATTCTGGATCTTCGTAACAGAAGAGCTGCCACTGCGTACATCAATGTTCAGTTCCGGAAGCCTATTGTGACACCACAAGTTGTCATCGTCACAGCTTCTTTCGTCAGTACGGAGCGGCGCAAGTTGATCCTGCGCGCTAGCATCAAAGACGAAAAAGGAGACATTTGTGCCACCGGTGATTCATTGGTTATTGGAGATCGCGATCCTCGCGATGAAAAACTCTGAGACACCGTGATGAGGAAGGAACCGGTGGCGATGGAGGAGAACATGTTTGGGCTTGAGTGGACCGTATTATAGAGGTGTAGTCAATGTTGTTGTGGCGGAATCGTCGAGACACCCAACCGTATGTGAGTAAATTCGATCCCAGCATCAGACCATCAGAGACAGGGACAAACATTTGCGAAAAGGGCTTCTGGACGTTGGGCGCGGCGCCAGCCAGAGCATGGGTGGAGGTGGTGTCCAGGCTGTCGAATCATCGCGCCAGGCGCTTGTGGGTAGGCAAGATAGGTTACCCCTCATTCATGCGCGTGCAGGAGGCGGGCCATCGCAGGCTCCTTGTGTGGTTGATCAACTTATACAATTCATCACTCGGACTCCCAATCACAAAACACTAAAGGTCCAATACCGACCGTGTGATCATCCAAGTAGACAAGCCCAAAGCGGCGAACGCTGTTCACTCAGTACAGAGCTATCTGTAGTCAGACCGATATCCCGGGCTACGTTACCTGAGATAGTTTGTCATTCATCAATCTTCATCATGTCAGCCACCAAAAAGCTACGTGTTGGAATCATCGGGGCAGGAGTATGGCTTCCTCTCATCACGTCGCTTCACAAGCCGCTAATCGTGAATAGGAGGTATTCCAAATCTGCCATGGGCCCTGCCTGCTCTTGATGCCGCATCTTTTTACCCTTCAGTCCATTTTCGACATCTCGCCGACAAACACCAAGCACTGCGCCGATAAGTTTAACATACCGCATCAGGCTACGTCCCCAGAGGAAGTGCTCGGAAATCCTAACGTGGATCTCGTCATGATCCTGACATCTGACGACAGTCATGCCCCGCTCGCCGTGGCAGCTATCAAAGCGGGCAAGTTCGTCATGATCGAGAAGCCCATGACCTTGTCGATCCCTTCGGCACAGTCCATTATTGATGCCGAGGAGCAAGCTGGTGGTTCTCGCGTCTTCATCGGCTACATGCGCCGGTACGCGCCCTCGTTCCTCCAAGCCTTTAAGCGTGAAGTGGCTTCTATTCCGAGACTCCTATACGGCAGAGTCCGCGACTTTTCTGGGCCGAACGCGAATTTCACTAGCCAGAGCGGTACGTTCGCAATCAAGCCGGACGACTTTCCTCCCGGCAGCAACGCCGAGAGAGATCAGCGATTCGAGGCCCTCTACGCAGAAGCATTTCCCGGGCAGGCCATCACTGATGCCCACCGAAACTACTGTCGCTTCCTAGGTGGCCTCGGGTCTCACGATTTCTCTCTCATGCGCGAAACCCTCGGCATGCCCGAAAAGGTAATCGGTGTCTCTGTCAACCACCCATTCTACAGCTCTATCATGTCGTTTCGAAACAAGGACGGATCGCCTTATTCGGTCACGTATGAGAGTGGTATCGACGAAGTCCCCGTTTTCGATGCGCATCTGGCGCTGTATGGGGAAACGAAACGAGTGACAATCAAGGTAAGAATCTGCTCACAATGGGGTAATGATTTGTGAGAAAGCTGACACGACAGCAGTATGACAGCCCTTACGTTAAAGGTCTGCCCATCACTGTCGAGGTAGATGAGGTCAACGAACATGGCGAGGTCCAGCACAGGCAAGTCTTGTCGTCTTACGAAGATACCTACACTGCCGAGCTTCAGGAGATTCACGAATGCTTTGTCAAGGGGAAATCTATCAAGACAACCCCCAAAGATGCTCTGGAAGATATTACACTGTACGACATGATGTACAAGGTGTGGGCTGCTGGGAAGAACGAATAAGCCCCGGAACGAACTTCAATGCTCTGGTAGGACAGTGAAGCTTTGAACGGACGTTACAGGATCCCGAATAATACACGGAATCATATGATACATAGTAAGGGGCTCAATCGACGCCTGCCCAGTTGGTACTTTGTCTTGGCTTGCAATCAGCGCTGAACGAAACTTGTTGCCGCACAGCAGCATCTTCAACCACATACGACCATACCTACTGGAGAACTCGGGATCCCGTCCGCTCTCCCATAGATAAGCCAGTAAGGGTCGGACTAGTAGTTGGGTGGGTGACCACCAGCGAATCCCTGATGTTGTATGTTTTTTACAATCTTTTGTTTTGTCCTGGTTGTTGAAGATTGTTTGTGGTTGTGGGGTCCTGATGTCGGAAATAGCGCGGTGAATTCTGCTGGTGGCATTCAATTGTACAGTGGCGTTCGCCTGGTGCCGGGTGGTCTTTGCGCCCAGTGCCTCCATTAAGTTCCAGGCACTTGTTGAATCGAGGCAGAATACACAAACCTTTCCCGTGCATGACCCTTTCCAAAAACAATCTACATGTATTATACCTCAGGTTTTCTTAGTGTGACAGTCTTGATCTTTACTTAGAATATCTGGCGTTTTCTACTTCAGGTATCCGGGACCGCATTCTCCCAATCCATGTTAGCACTTGCCTACCTTCTGTCACTGCGTACAGTCCGAGTGCCATGTAGTAGCCTTGAGAACAGAGTATGCATGCTAGCACTGTATTTCTGCTAAAAGTTCATTTAATATGGTCTCTAAGCTTTTCGATACTATCAAAGAGAGCGTTTGCGGATTGCTGGTACGTCTGCGGATGGCGCAGAGGGTCAGGATAATCGCAAGCAGGGAAGAAGTCCCGAAACGACCGTCCAGAGCATCAGAAAAGGTCCGGTCGAGTGGAAGGAGGATGGACCACGGGATTTTGTCTCAAATGTATACCGTTGCCCTTTACCGAGTCCACTTGGCCAATCCATGTACATGAACCACCAGCCAAGCCTAAGCGTTGACTGGAGAACAGCAACAGCAACATGGGGGCGTCGGACATGTGTGAAGTTTTCAGGCTTGCGAGAAGGATGGAGAATTCTCTTGCTAGTAATCAAGGCCATAGACGTCGAAAACACTCTCTCGTACCTTACTCTGTAGGGGAGCTTCGAGCCATCAGCTGGGCTGCCCGAGACACCACGCCTGGAGAAAACGGAGGCCGCGAGGGAAGCACATGAATTACCCCCCGCTGCCGTTGGCATCATGCCAAAGGGAGGTGTTGTAGGATATATGACCTCTCGGGTTTCGAATGTGCTTCAGCATTCCTACATGGCTTCCCCTTCGGACCTACATACCTCAAAGCTGATACATTTCCGCAAGCTCAGGGCCGAAATCTACCTAAAAATAATGGCCGTCCAATCTATTCTCAGAGAGTTGCAAATATCGCAGCCTGTTGCAGCAAAGGAGAATTTGATTCAGTGCCACTGCCCCGTCGAGCCTGCATGGAAGGTTTGGTGGCATTGACTCAGCATTTGTGTTTGAAGCAAAGCCAAATGAGGATCAGCATATAGGCCCAAGGTCAACTCTCACGCTCCTTCTGTATCTCCATGCCCACAGTCGCCATCGTCACAAGACGGGCCACGGGGTTGATCGTCAAGATTCCCATGGAAAGTTGAACAAACATTATCCACAAGGCTGCCAAAAAGCGGTATCAAGCTCACAAGGTACGTTCCCCAGCACAAACAGAAAGTCCACGCAACCCAGGCCGCAGTGCATGCACACGCGAAACATCTGCTGCGGAAGGTCTCAGGTTTTGGCAACATTACATCGCGGCCCGACATACGCAGGGCACAGTCGGTCGAGCTCACGGGCACGCTGTCTGACAACGACAACAACACGATGAGCGGCTAAGATGAAAGTGGAACGTCATCATGATCAAGGCACCGGGAAGCCTCAGCAGCGAATAAGCTTATTGCCAGTCTCAATTTTCTTCTCGCCCCCCCGCAGGGGGTATTGGTGATGGCATATCGCAGGCTGAATCGGCCTTGCCTTTCCGGTCTCCCCACTGCGATCACTGGCATGACGACAGCCCGAGGCGGTGCCTGATAGGACGGAAATGCCGACGGCATCCAGAAGCGGAAGCCAAGCATCCCCGCCGGGAACTCGATCATTATAGACATGGGGTCTAGTTGAGGGGATGGGTGGTGACCTCGACGATGCAGTGGGATATTTTTGGAGAGATGTGTCGCAGATTGAGAGGGGCGCGAGTCGGGACCTAGTGGGGATTAGACACCAATTCGAGGCTCTTGCTAGAGCCAAGGAGGGGCGATGCTGGACTCCCCTCGCTGCTGTCGTCTGTGAACTTCGCGATTGATTTCACAGTGAAGCTTGGTAATATTTTGGGGAAAAGAGGGGGAGGGTTCGAGGTTGGGGAGAGCGGCCGAACAAGGAGTTAGTTGGCAAACGATGGGCAGATGAGGTAGGCTAAGAAAAGCGACGATCACAAAAGCCCGGTAGGACATTGTTGAGACTGATCGCCAGGTCTTGTCACTCATCGGCAGTCCGACGCGCAATGCGAACGTAATGGGTATCGAGCGTCGCGTTGATCTATTCGAGCCACGAGTAAAGCCGTCCCTGGGTGGACTGAAGGTAGTGTAACACGTCGTCAACTGCTGTGGCTGTCGCCTTGGCATCCCCATTCTCCACGTTGATCCTGTCAAGTCCTAGGCGGTATCAAAGTCGAGTCCTAGACGCCACGAGGCGCAAGATGGATTGCGATGGTTCGTAGAGAAAAATGGATTGAGGGTTAAGCTGAAGTGCCGTGTCCAAGAATAGAATGAGGGTTAATCAAGTGGTGATCTCCCGCAGGGCTTGCAGCATTCGGTGGGACTCGTTGACTTGGCTAGATGATGAGGCTTCGCAATTCAGCGGATATGCGCAGGGCTGTGTAGCCAAGACTGAGGGAAACCCCTCGCCAGCTACTTGGAGCTTGAAAACCTGCAGAAAAGAGCAAGACAGGCTTTGAATCTGAAACTTGAAACATTGACCCAATAGCATGTCGGTTGGGCAGTGAGCAATCAGACTCGCCGTGAGTGGGATGTGCTGGCTACTTTCCGGCGGCCGCCGGACAGGCCGGTCGATCAGACAGGCAGCCTGTCAAGCGCAATGGCCGGGCTTCAAAATAGTGTGCTTAATTTGCCAAGCAACGCAACAAGAAAACAGCAGCACTTTCGCTGCCATGCTAAGAATGCAAAACCCAGAGCTTCTTCCTGCTCATCACCGTAGTATTGACATGCTTTGAGAATATCGCCTGAGCCTTATGGTGCCACCAATGCGTATCGTCAACATGATACTCACCAATTGAGATTTCGCTGCCAAGGAAATGCCGGCACGCCTCTTCGTGGATTGAGGTCTTGGCGGGGGTCTTCGGTGCCCAGATTTCTTCCCCAGCCTCAATCGTCACTGTTGCCACTGAGAGCCGACAAAGTGAGCTCCCCAGGACCGGTCAAGCTCGTCGAGGATGTTGAAGAAATAAGCTACGAGGATCTCCACCTCCAGACACTGTAGCGGGTCTCAAAGGGCAGAGTGAACGAATTACCAGTGATGTCCAGGAGGCGAAGCTCCAACACAAGAACACTAACAGAGTGCGCTTGACTGCATGATTAGATGCCAAGCCAGGCTTTGCCAGCACCCGGGGACATTCCCTGTTTGTTCCGTCCTCTACCACTGGTGCTTTTCTTCTCCCGGCCCTTTCGAGCCTGACTCTTCTCACCTCACTTGGGAGACCAGGCCCCTCCCTGCGCAAACGGGCAGCGAGCCAGTCCGCTGGGGAGTAGCGTGAGTCGCGTGTGTGAGGCGGAGCTGTCTGTGTGGCTTGGCCCCAGGTTAATGTGACCTGATGCTTTGATTACTTGGTTCACCTTCTGAGTACGTACGATGGGGCCAAGGCATTGCCGGACATTGGTGCCATCCGCCCCCTTGTTGGTCTTGGACGCTTAGGGCCCGCTCACGACTCAGGGCTCCGACCTTGACGTCTACACTAGAGATGAGGGTGAGGTACTTGCTGAGACAAACCCCGTCAGTACCCGTTTGGCGTACAACCATGTCTCTGTAGGTCGCCAGCGCAGAGCTTCTTAGCTTGGGCGCATTACATCACAGGTGCTGGAGACGATCTCCAGCAAGAGGCCTTCTTTTTCCCCGGACCATGATCGAGTGGCATTGCTTGTTCCGTACATTTACATAAATACACTGGAATCCCATCGCAACTGTCCTGCTCATATCGCATCATCAAGCCATCAAATAATACAGTCCAGAAACTTCGACAGCCACTACAGCAATCCACCCACAACTCACCACCTCAACCTCACCGCCATCATGTACTTCAACCGCTTCGCCCTCGCCGCCGCCTCCATGGCCACCGTCGCGCTCGTCAACGCAGACCTCGAGCTCGACCGCGATGATTACCCTGCTCAGTGCCAGAACGTTTGCGATCCCGTCGCTCGTCTCGGTCAGCTGTGCAACTTTGACGACAATGACCGCCTTGATGACCGCATCGAGGACCAGCTTGAGGCCCAGTGCTTCTGCACCAACAACAGCTTCAACGTCGCCCAAGTAGCTGCTCAGTGCGCCGCCTGCATGCACAACGCCAACCGTGACACTGATGACAACGAGGGTGAGTCAATCCGAGCTGCAAAGTCAATCCACTTGAATGCCATACTAAGCCAAACAGACATCAACGACATCATGTTCACCTGTGGCTTCTCGTCCACCTCTTATGACGCCAACGCTATCTCTACTGCTACTGGCATCAGCGTCCAGGCCACTGCCCTGACCGCCAGCAGCCAGCTGACCACGAGCCTTACCGGTGCCACTCCCACCAACACCAACTCGCAGTCCACCCCTACCGGCTCCTCTAACAACAACAACAACGGCAACGGCAACAATGACGACAACTCGAACAACAATAACAACAACGGCAACTCCAACTCCGACTCTCAGTCTACCAACGAGCCCAGCGCCGCCAACGCCATCGCCCCCGGGTTCGGCACCTCCGCTCTCGGCATCTCGGCCTACGTCGCCGCCGCCGCCGTCGCCGGTGCCATGCTCCTCCAGTAATCAAGCCACGACGTCATGTTCCCATTTCGCTGTCTCGCTGGCGTATCACGTCCGACCAACATTGTCCCTGGGGCTGGCGCGATCACATTTATCCTGTCATCCCATTCTGTGCTTAGCGTTCTAATGATGCATGAATTCTCCTGAAGGGGCAGAAAGTGAAATACCATTGAATTGATCATATAATCATATGCCTGCATAAAGAGTAACCCTGCACCTGCTATGCTATGATGATATGTTGTCGCTCGACATACATGAAAAGAACACTGCTCAGAATCCAACCCAACTAACCAAGAAGACAAAAACGCCCAATTTCGTTCCAACAGTGTGTTGCTCGCACATATTGCACAATCACTCAAAGCATGCCCCTGGCGCTAAGTTCTTCGACCGCCTTCCACAGGAGAAACGCATTTCGCGAGTCGCTGCTCCAGCCCAGGTAAAGCAGTCTCTCGAGGACCTGATCGGAAATACTAGCAAGAAGCAAGGCAAATGCCCTCTGCTCCGCTGCCTGCAGGGCGAGAGCATCGAGGTGCTGAGCGGACGAGTCGTAGTAAGAGTCATTGCCCTGCAAGCGGTCGATGAGGCCTTGTGACGCGAGGACCTGGTGCATTCTCGCCTTCCAGACGCGGTAGTTCTGGGGGCCGCGGAGCTGGGGAAGAGGCTCGTACGCAATGGTGGCCATGTTGAATGATGTTGGGGTTGCTGATAGGCGGCCTCGAACAATCGTAGCTTGGGTAATAATTTGGCAGGCGGCGGAATTCTTGTTTATAAATGTTAGTCGAATGAATGACTATCAAGAAACTTTTGAGGGCGGCCTTCTCCTGACATTTAATACAGACACGAGCCCGTTGCCCAACGCCCCCATTTTCGTCCGCCGGAGGGCGCCGCGAAACGCTCACATTGTCGTCAGGAGATGTGAAGCGCTCGAAACGTCTGAGAGGCCCTGAAATTAGCACCCCGCGGCTCGCGGGCGGTGGTCCCAGGCCCACAGAGGGCGATCGGACGGTCTGTGGCAGCTGGTCCGCTCGCTGACTTCGGGCGCTGTCGGCGGACGGGTCGCATGCTGGATTGCACCGAGGGATCTGCAAATGTCAGACTTGGCGGGAAACTCTGAGAGCTCGACCTCTGGTGTGTGCCTTCTTTGGATGTCCGGGGTAGGTCCAGCCGGTGGAATTAAGGGTCTGAGGACTCTGGTCTATGGGTTAAGTTGCGGAAGCTTCCGCGTCGCGAGATGAGCAGCAAGGTGGAAGATATTTTGGTGCTGGCTAAATCAGGAATCACCATCGACAGTGTTGCATGGATGGACCCAAAGACCCCGGGCGGCTGCATCAAGTGCCATTCGTCTTTTTTAAGGACCAGATCAGTATGTATGAAGACCAAGCTGCAGTCATGCCAAATTTGCCACTGCAGCGTCCGTCACTGGGGCCAAGGCAATCTAGGTTTGGTGACTATGATACGACCAGTCCACAGCGAGGCCTCTTTACGGTCGACGAGACGATTGTGGAGTCTGAAAATGCCGGCCGAATTCCAAAGCTTACTGGTGAAGCTTGGAAACATAGAGTGTCCGAGTAGGTGGTGTTGGCGGGAAAGATCAGAGATCCGCCGTGAAGAGGACATGGCAAAAGGAGGATCGGCCACGGGGGCACACATGTCGCACGCAGCCGATTGAGGGCGGCCGTTCGTCGTGTGCACTTTCTCACCAGACCGACAGCAGAACTTCTTGCTTTGACATTTTCTTCCACCATGATGGGAACCAAATCCCGCGGACGGCAATCGCAGCTCTTGTGTCTGCGCCAGTCGAGCGCCGCCCTGGTTCTAGCAGTTGCATGCAACATGCACTCTCATAGTCGGATCATGCTGGGATCAAAACACCCACTAAAGAGGCCGTGCCATCGCCCCCAAGACCAAAACTGCTTCATATCTCAACACTGGTGATCAGACGAAACGCTACAACTCAGTTCGACCAGTGATAACGCTATCCTACGGCTTGTTTCAAAACGTATCTTGTCTCGAGATCATGTATACCACCCCTGAAGGAGATCTTAAAGCTCAACCAGCGATTCCGCAATAAAGGATTTGCAATGCCCCATCAGTTGAGTCGAGCCATCTTCAAAACAAAACACACCATCAAACCCTACCAGATTTTGTTAAAGCATTGATCGCCATGTTTTCCAAGAATGAAAGCCGACCATTCCTCAGCGATGATCCGTCAGCGGACGAAGCCAACGCGCGCTTTCATCAGCCTCACCAAACCCGCACCAAAAATATCTCACACTCCATTGTCTGCTTCGTTACATCCCTCTTCTGGGTCATGGTCATTCTTCTTACGCTCCCCGACTCAGACGCACACTACACCTCCATTGACGATAAGTCACCCATGGAGCAAGGCCACGTCCACCGCCACAACATCACGTCCAATGCCAGACTCATAACCTGCGGGAACTCGACGCAAGAGGCAAGGGAGGCAGGCTGCAAGTACGATATCCTGCTGAATAACTGGGTGCCCGAACAGTGCCTTGACCAAGAGTTCATTGACGAGTATCGCGATGACCAAAGCTGGGCCGGGTTCTCAGACAAGGAAATGACCAAGCCGATCTCCGTCGAGGACATGGGTGAGGTGGACTTTTACTATACTTCCCGGCGAGACCACGTAAACCACTGCGCCATGATGTGGAAGAAGCAGTTCTACGTACTATTTGACGAAAGCAAGGCGTTCGACACGGTGGTTGCGAGCCCAGGACACACTGACCACTGTGCCCAATTCCTGATGGATGCGCCGGAGGATGACTGGAAAGGACCCACGAGGACAGAGATGGGCTTTGCTGGATGTTGGATTCGGGAGTAGGCCACACCTAATTACTGATATGATGAAATACGAGTCTTTACCAGTTCTCGACTATAAAGTGATCGCTCAGAGCAGAAATGGCCTATTCCGCAACCATTGGTCCTGGAACTTCTTCAACTCGTCAAGCTGCGTCGACCTTCGTTCAACCTCGCCCGCTTCTTGATCACCGTCGGTTTCCTGGCCCAAGAACCAGAGAATATCCATAAACTCGGGGCAAGTGGTGTTTGCCTTCGGCATTTTACCATCTTGCATGTAACTCCGGGCATGTTCGTTCATGCAGATGCTTTGTGGAATAAACACATGCTGCCCATCATCAGTCTCATAGTCGACTATGGCTAGCAACGATATGCGCAAAACTCACACCGCGACCCTCCAAAATGACCAACTCTGAGCCAGGGAAGAGTGCTGAGTTCGCTTGAGCCGACCTTAGTGGCGTGATGTTATCTAGGCGTGCGTTGAGAAACAATATCGGGAAGCTCGTGTTTGCCCCGTACGGACCTTCACGTCATAAGTTAGGTCACGAAAAATAAAGATGTAACACCGAAAGTCTCACCCTCAAAGCGTCTGCGAGGCCGAGGCACTCCTATGCATGACAATTTGACGTCAACCTCAGCTGCACCTAGGCGGTGGCGGCCAACTGCTTCAGCCAGCAGGTTCTTGATATCATCTATGCCGCCAGGTAGCTCGGGCCAGTCACCGCATAAAGTGAACTCATCTGAAGCGTACTGAGGACCAATCCAATCGTCAGGATTATTCGAGTCACGGAATACCGTATCAGAGAGCGCTGCGCTGTCCACTCTGGCCCACCAGGAAGGCGGAATCGATACGACAGATCTTTCGGGTGTCGGATACCCACCGTCTTCAACTTTCTTCAAAAGCCTCGCCAGATCTCCAAAAGACATGTATGGAGCGTACAGCGCGCTGCGGATCTGCACCAGAAGGGCTGAGTAAGTCGGAGCCTCGGAGACGTACGTGTGCTGGATGTTTCCAGCATAAACCAAGGGGCCGGGAGTCCGCCCGTAAATTGGATTCTGTTTGGAGTACTCTAAGATGGACTCGAAGCGCTTCTTGACACCGTCTGCGGTGGGTTCATGGATGGCGCACTCTTCGGTATTCGCGCATTCTTCGAAAAACCAGTCAATCAGGGCATCTGAGTCAGCAAAGCCCCGGCCCCAGTTGCCTGCGGAATGCTCAACGATGTCTACATTCGCTGTTCAATGCAATCAGCAAACGTTACTTGGTATTGACATAGTCAACGTACCTTCCAGGATCATGCGTTCAATCTTATCGGGGTACATCGTCGCAAAGGTGGCTCCCAGGGCGCTGCCCCAGCTGGCACCGTAAAACCGTATAGTGTCCTCACCAAGGGCCGTCAGAATGCTGTTCATATCGCGGGCATGATTAGCTGTCGAGATGTGCGCCAGAATACCACTGTCGCCGAGGCGATCGGCACAGACGCTGTTTTGAATCTTCGCTCGATGCAGTAGCGTGGCGATGAAGCTATCATCGTTGTACTGGTCAGGCATTCCTGGCCATCTGGTTCCCAGACCGCTCGACGTTGACGTGTTGCCCAACACTGCGTCCTTGGAGTTGATCTCCATGCTGATTCATGTCAGCCAAGTGAAGCGGGCAACTTTGGCTGAAGCGATGATGAACTCACTGGCTCGAATATCCCAACTAATAAGATCCTATGTTTGTCAGCTGACTTTCAACTCAAGAGGCTCCAGGCGTGGCCGTGGGCAAACTTACATGGTTGGCCCCCAGCATTTCGGCAATGAAACTTCCGCCCTGTCGGACAAGGTCAACACCTGAGCCTCCAGGTCCCTATTATCTTGATTAGCATTATGCTTGGAATGCAGAACATGCTATGCCAACGGCTCTTCATTCACTCACACCTGGGTTCACAAAGAGGGGCCCCTTGTAGTTCTCTTTGTCTTGAGCTGGGAGACGAATGACAGCTAAGGTGACGTATGAGCTGTTGCATGCACCATAGTCCATTGGAACAAGTAGTCGTGCGCATTCCATAGGCTCGTCATAGCATGGATGCCATTCGAGAGCTTTGCTTGCGGTGAACTATGGGACATTAGTTAGACAGGACTTGGATCAATTCATCACTAAAACTCACCTTCACTCATTCGGGCTCATTGTGTGGCCGCAGAGACGGGTCGAAGAATTCATCAGGAACTTGTGCTAGGGCTGTGAAGATTCGACATAAGGAATGCAACAGAAACATAAGGCTCCTACGAGAGCGGAGGTCCGTAAGTGAACTCATGATGAACCAAGTATCTTCGATTGGATTGATACGCCTGATTGATAATAGACTCGATATTGCACGAGGCAGATGTCCAGGGGTTCTTATAGTTCGCTTCGCACCAGGCGGGCAAACGACCTGTGTGACGCGTGAAGAACTTGTGACATCGTGACATGGTTACTCCACGGAAACGGCTGCTGTGCAGTCAAACTCGAATGCTTGCAGTGCGGCTTAGCACTTCACTTGGCACTTTGAGGGCCTCAATCTCAATAACAATGGGAGAAAATCAGGCCGAAAACCAGGTCAACGAGCGACCGACCATTTCTTGCAGCAAGAAGTTCATGTCAGCGCCAAGGGGTAAAGTTGCTGATGCACGCCTTCCTGATGACTTGAGGCTTGGCAGGTACCAACTCGGGAATAGCTTGGGGAAATTATACGTGCTGCTTCAGCAAGCGTTGGATTGCGCGTTCATCTTGCGCGTCCACATAATCATCTACCTGAGCCTTCAATTGACTACGAGTTGATGTCGAATGTGCTGTGCATGGCGGTGGCGGAGCTGCAGATGCCCATCCTCCGACACGTGGGATGATCCTGCGGATAAATACGATCCATCAAAAGGTTCGTAAATCCGGAGAACCGGCCCTCTTCGTCCACGAATGCATTCGGCGAATCAGGACCATTATTTAGCGAGCGTGGCAGTCAAGAGACTACTTGACAAAAGAACGAGGCCACCTTCCGTGCCGACGAAACGATAGGCAAGCCCCGAGTGTCGACCTACACAGGAGAAGTTCCCATGCCGCCGCCAGACAATCTAGAATGATGTACGACATGCGACTCGACTGTTTGGATCATTCGACAGAGCACGGCTTGATATGGACAAATTTCCGAATTAAGGCCTAGAAATTGTTGGTTATTGCCAGTGAGACCCGTTGACATTGTATAAGCCTGAGATGTAACCTAGTTTAGCCAACGACGTTGATTCAATACGTGTCCTTTAGCTCAATTGGATGGATAGCTACTGTAAGGCATTCACGAGCGTGTGAGGGCTGCCCATAAGCACTATTGAGGCTGACTGCAACATTGGACTTGTAGTATCATAACGCGAAAGACATGGCTTTATGACAGCCGGCCTGAATGAGGCGTTGTCTTATAAGCGTGATTGAGTTCATCTGCAGAATGAATATGGTTCCTCGCGGCTTTCCATAGCATCAAGGTCACTGTCATGTAGTCGCCTTTCTGTCAAAGATTCTCGAATCTCGGTCTCGAGATAGGAACCCTATACTTATGTCGATATCTTATGGTCCACTGATCTGAGGGAAAGCATCTGCAGCGGGTGATGGAGGTTGATTTGAAATGCAGCTTACCAACCTACTCTCCCAGTGATTGATGTCATCACATGTAGCCACATCTTCATTAGTGTGACCGAGCTTGGCCTTTTCGTGTTGTTGATATGATATCTTCCGTGGAAAGATGGAGATCGGCGATTGAAATGGACCTACGATCGCCGAGATGATCCGACCTAGCGCCCAATCAAGAGTCAAAAGCCGGGCAACTGATGTTTTGATCGCCCGGATGCTCCGGAGAGACAAAGTCTCAACTAGCATCTAGCGGGGAGCTACTTTGCTTGCAATCCCAATCATTTAAATCAAAACAATTGAGACAAGCAAAGTCATTCAAAGGAAATACGAGTCGACAAACTATCTCAGATTCCCTCCTTCGACTTTGCCGCCTCGTCAGATATCTTTTACCATGACTCTCATTGTTCACCACCTCCATGTTTCCATGTCCGAGAGGATTCCATGGCTTTGCGAAGAGCTCGGAGTGCCCTACGAGCTGAAGGGTTACGACCGCGACAGACTCATGGCTCCTGCTGAGTTTAAAGCACTGCATCCTGCGGGCACAGCTCCTGTCATCCAGGACGGCGACCTGACCCTCGCAGAGAGCGGTGCGTGTGTTGAGTACATCAGCCATAAACACGCTCAAGGAAAGCTCTTCGTGCCTTCGTCCCGTCCGGAATACGCCACCTTTCTCTTCTGGTGGCATTGGTCCAACGCTACGCTGCAGTCCGCCCTTGGAGGAGCAATGGCAGCCTATGCAAATGGATTACGCGAGGGTGACCCTCGCGGGGCATTTGCTTTCTGCCGCTCTAAAAAGGCGCTTTCGTCTATGAACGACAGGCTGGGCCAGAGCAAGTGGCTTGCCGGAGAAGCGTTCACGGTGGCCGACTTGATGTGTGTTTTCCAGGTCTCCACATTCCGCTACTTTTACCCCATTGACCTGGGAGAGTACGAACACATAGTGGGTTTCTTGAAGCGAGTTGGAGAGCGTGAAGCGTATCAAAGGGCCATGGCGAAGTCGGATCCGGGTATGGGGGTTGGTTTTGGGATCAGCTCCGCCTTCGAAGCCTTTGATGTGAGAGCCGAGGTCGCAGCGGCAGAACTTGATTGCACGCGGTGTAGAGGCTACCTTGAATTACGTATGCACTGGTTCAACGACGCCATTGTGCCAAGCGCCATCGATTTTATGTCGCCATCTCAGGCTCATATGAATCAACTTGTCCCATGCGATCATCGACCGCGTTTTGCACAAGTCCGGATCCCCGTGATGCGGGCGTGTCGGCGCCGACCTCCCGGCCTCGGTCCCGGCCTGCGCACAGGCCTACGTCTCTTGTGAAGGCCGTCTCCCCACGGGCATGGTGTTTTCAGTTGCAGCATCATGTTTAATCAATATGAAGGGCTTTGGCAGACAAGTGCACCGCTCTTCGGGGAAATGTTCGCACCTTTGTCTCCTTGGCGGCGCAGGTGCTTGCTTGTTCACTGCCTCTCGGAGATCCAATTGAGGCAGCTCCGATATATAGCCTTTTTGTCATAAAACTCCGAATTTACTCCGCACGATTTGTGGCGTTCTGCCTGCCTGGCGCTAGTCAAGGAACGCCTCATCGCCCCCTCAGCGAAGATTCGCTTTGCCAATGTTCCTCACAAACTTCGAGATTCTTCTCATTGATTTTACCGAAATCTGTCAAAAGGTCCTGTTTCTCGTTTCCATCACCAGAAATCACTCGTCAGCTTCATCGAAATCCCAAACATGGCTGCGACACAGAAGGATGCCGCCGCCATCGAGTGCGCCAAGCAGATGGATCACATCCCTTGGTGTGACGATTACGAGAAGATGATCTCAGGAATGCTGTAGGTGTCCTTCGAAGCGTATTTTCTGCCCGAATTAATTCTTCTAGCTACAACTCGCTGGCGCCGGAGCTCATCACCGGTCGCTTTCGTGCTCGGCGATTCATGCACAAGTACAACAACCACTTTCCCGAGGATGCTACGCCCGACACTCTCGTAAAAGAGCGGGAAGACATCATACGTCAAATGTTCGGCAAAGTTGGCAAGGAGCCTTACATGGAACCGCCCCTCAACGTGGACTATGGCTGCAACATCACCATTGGAGACAACTTCTACAGCAACTTCAAGTGAGTGCGAAATCTATACAGCCCATATTGAAGCTCACACCTTTTAGCCTCGTGATTCTTGATTGTGGTATTGTCAAGATTGGAGACCGTGTGCTGGTAAATCTTTTTGCTCAAGATGTGATACTATTAACTAACTCGCACAGTTTGGCCCTTCTGTTTCCATCTTTGCGGCGACCCATGAAGTCGAGGTGCAGTCTCGCCGAGACTTCATCGAGTACGCCGGTTCAGTGACCATTGGTGACGACTGCTGGATTGGAGGAAACGTGACCATTATGCCCAACGTCAAGATCGGCAAAGGCTGCACAATTGGAGCAGGAAGCATCGTCACGAAGGACATTCCCGACTTCTCCGTCGCCATCGGAACCCCGGCTAGGGTTGTGAAGAAGGTCCAGCCCGTTGAGGATCTTCCATCCGAAACACCAGATGCTGAGAAGACTGCGTGATGGAAGGACGCAGCTTCTTGCCGTTTTTGTTCCGCTGGCTGTCCGACTTTCGATACACGGCCATGTGACCGGGCCGGGCCGAGCATCCAGGTCCGGCCCCGCAATCATCATCACGTCATTGGTGGCACCGTCATTGACCTACCTTATTCTTCCCATCATGCCGAATCAAGATCTCACCTTTTCGTGCAAATTCTCCTGCAAACCAAAGAGTCCCTCATACTCTTCGAGTAGACCTTGAACGCGATTGACCATGAGCAACGTTGACCTCTCCATTCCAACCCATACTACCGGCGCCGCTGCGGATTTCGCCGCGAAGCACGCAAGCAACCATGACCTGGCCTTCTACGGCGGCTGGTTTTGCCCCTTTGTCCAGCGCTCTTGGATGGTTCTGCACGAGAAGCGGATTGAGCATCACTACAAGGAGGTGAATCCCTACAACAAGGACCCCGATGGTCCCAACAAAGAGTTTCTCAGTTTGAATCCGCGCGGCCTGATCCCCACCATGGCTGTTCCAGCACGAGACGAGGACGGGAAGGTCCGTCCCTTGTACGACAGCACCATCGTCTCCGAGTACCTCGACGAGGAGTATGCAGACGAGTCAAAGCATGGCCCTCGACTCTTCCCTAAGGATCCATACGAACGCGCAAGGTGCAGGCTCTGGATCGACCACATCAACAACAAGATTGTCCCAGGCTTTTACAAGTTTATCCAGCACACGCCCGAAAAGACCTACCCAATCGACGACGCGCGATCTGAGTTTCTGAACCATATCGAGACCCTAGTTCGTGAGATGCAATCTAGCGGGCCGTGGTTCCTTGGCGAGCGCTTCTCCATGGTTGATGTGATGCTTGCGCCGTGGGCTATGCGACTGTTTTTGATCGACCACTACAAGCCTGGCGGCGTGGGCATTCCTCCGATGACGAAGGAAAGCGGCGAGTCCGGGACCTGGTCCCGGTGGAAGACGTGGTTCGATGCTATCAGCGAGCGACAGAGCGTGAAAGACACACTGAGTGCTCGGGAGGCCTATGTTGCGTCCTACAAGCGGTACGCAGAAGACACTACCAATTCCTTGGTGGCGCAGGCTACTAGGAGTGGGGGACGGATGCCATGAGTGCCTACAACTGAGTTTTGAGATGATCGGAGCGGAGACCAAGCCCGCTGAGCGAGACAGCGTGTCAAAATCGATGATGAATCGAACGCCTTGTCAATGGAAATGATGTTATTGGTTGTCATATAAATTGTACGTTTGAATAAAAGTAATTAGAGTTGCTTCGAGAGAAATTGATTGCAATATTGAAGAAAAAAAACGTTCCCGTTACCAGAAGCTCCTGTGCCATGTGTACTTTGAACGACTGGGTGGCTGTCATGCTTCAAGCAGGGGTACTCGCTTCGGGCTTTGAGTTCTTGTTGCTTTCGCCAACAGGTGCCTTACTACCTAAGCCACCTCCAGAAGCAGTCTTTCCATCTTGTATAGCAGCCTTGAGCCGTGCTGCCCTCTGGTTGCGGCTTTCGCTAGCCGGGTCAAGGTAGGCTGAGAGAGTCAATTTGCTGCCCAAAAGTATCACGGGCTGCAACTTACGTTTCTCGCCAAAAACGGTTGTCCTAATGCCCCTTCGAGGGGCTTCATATGTCCCCGGTATCACCCGATGGATTGTGGCCCTGTGAATGTCAGTCAAGGGCTAAGAGCACACTGGGTAGCATGAATGGGCAACCTATTATCCCACATAGCAACACTCCCAACATCCCACTTCCAACGCACTGCATGATCGTCCGCAGAGTGGATGTGGTAGGCAAAGAAATCCAATAACTTATCCGATTCGACCTTTTTCAACTCGGCGAATCCTGTCACGAAGCCTGGATTTACGTTCAAAGCTTTCAGTCCAGTGACAGGATGAGTGCGGACAGCAGGATGATGACTATCGATCGGTGGCCGATTGGGTCCCACTCCCCAGAGATCAAGAATGCTGTCATATTGCAGTCGCGACGTATGCACAGCATGTAATCCATTGATGAATTTCTTGTAGGCGTCACTCAGGGCGTCATAAAGGCCGTACTGTGACACCCATGTCGTGTCCCCGCCAACTGCAGGGTGTTCTTCCATCCGCAGTAGCGAGTACGACGGTGGGTTGATCTCGAACGATGTGTCGGCGTGAAAGTCTGCCCCAGGCCAGGGTGTGTAGTTGAGAATTTCACGATGATCTTCCCTACTGCCCTTAATCACAACATGTTTAACATCCTTCTGAGCTGGATGCTTATCAAGAACGCCGTAGTGCTCAAATAGCTTTACTTGGCCATCAGTCGTGAGGTCTTGGTTGCGGAAGAAGACAACACCTCGCTCCGTGACCAGAGCAGCAAGCTCATCTAGCTGTTCGGGGCTGAGCTGAGAAAGTTGAACACCTTCGAGGAGGGTTCCGATCGACTCGGTGAGATCAACTTGTTTGGCTACAGAAAGCAGGGCTTTCTTGGAAGGATCAGCGAAGTGAGCTCGGTCCTTTTCAGGCTTAATCTCTTCTCGCAAACTATCAGGCGGCACATGGTCTCTGATCTTTTCTATAACATTTCAGAAGTGAATATCACAAATGGTCAGTGAGAATACTTGCTGTTGAAAGACGGATGGAGAGTTATGGGAAAACCCGAGTCGGGAGATATGTGCTTGCGGGCCTCGAGATGGGCCATATTGTACTTGCGCCTCTACCGTATTGTTTGGGATAATACTCCAGGACTCGCTCGCTTGCTGGTTTGACCTAGAGAATGAGCTGAATAGCTGCAAGGACTTAGGCACTAATATTGACTTCCGTAGTTCACGCTTGACAGGAAGCGAGATCGGCGCTCGAGCACGCGATGTGAAGTCGTGATCAGCTGCCCGTGTCATTTCGTCATTTGCTGTCTGAATGGTGATGCATCAGATCAAGAGGCAACTTCGCTCCTCGCGGGTCTCGGCATCTGTGCTGCTTTGAGCAATCCTGCATTCAATGTCGCATCGTCAACCGCGGGGCGCAGGTGCATGGCATGCGCATTGCTCGTTCAACCGGAGTATTCTCCCCGGCGTCCGGGAACAAGCCTCTTCCATTGTCCAATGACACTGACCATATTACCATGGCGAATCTTCGATGGCGCGTATAGGTGTCTTTTGCATGTGCGAGACTGCGATACTGATTCGCTCATGTTGCGTTGCTGAGCGGCAGAATCATGGGTCTGGCCATGTGTTGATGGCGTGCGATGGCATCAAGCCCGCTAAACCACGCAAAGGCTGCGACAGCGGAGAGACACCGTAGATAAACAGCACATCCCACAGGGAAGGTGGGCAGCCACGAGCCTTTGCAGGCTAGCCACATGGGTTTGCTCGAAATCCGGCGCAATGGTGCAAGGAATTTCGTTCGATATCCCATCGGAAGTAGTGCGAAGTGAATCTAGCCTCCGCAAACCACATGCTTAAATTCAGGGCACCCAGACACAGAGACAAGGTATCGAACGTTGTTTTCTCTCTACAGGCTGAAATCCTTGATTCCATCGTCATGTCTGACAACAACTACGAAGATAAGGAAGCCAAGCTCGTGAGTGTTCACGCTGTCGCCGACGGCAGCGTCGAATCCAGCGATGGCGAGACCAGTACACTTGAGTGGTCATCCGAAGAAGAAAAGCGTCTTGTGCGGAAGTGAGGCTCTGCAATAGCTATGAGGCTCGAAATACCAGGCTAACAAAGACAGGGTTGACTTTATTGTTATGCCATTGTTAATGTTAGTGGAACATTTTGATCTGACAACCGTAGGCGACGTTGCAGCAAACTAATGTCCGAGTCAGGCTTGGGTTTTTTGTACTTCAACTCGATCGAGGCAACATGTAAGTCATCCCTAGAGTCTAGACTGCACACCCTGTCGAGTAAGCTCACTGACGTGCACAGCGGCAACGCTTTAACCGACTTTTTCTTCCGAGATGTCGGTATTACTCAGAATCAATTCAATATTGGCCAGCAGTTGCTCTCACTTGGCATTGTTTTACTCGAGATTCCATCCAACATAATTCTCTACCGCGTTGGCCCCAGTCTCTGGATCGGAACCCAAATCATTGCCTGGTGCGTATTGCACCTCAAATCACAACCAAGTCAATCTTACTAAAGTGGTAAAGGGGATTCGTCGCTACATTTCAAGCATTTCAAAAGGGAGTGGGGGCCTTCATGGCTACCCGCCTCCTGCTCGGGTATGTTTGAGTCCTTGAATTGCGTGAGCTTGCAAGCTGATGGATTCAGAATGTGCGAGGCGGGCTTTATCCCGGCAGGTTTGTACACCATCACACGCTGGTATACGCAAGTGGAAACGAGCAAGCGCTTCTCCTGGTACTTCATCGGCAACATGCTAGCGGCAGCTACATCAGGTCTGATTGCCTACGGCATGTAGGTTTTCCACTGCGCCGTTATTCTTGAAGCGTACTGACTCGTTCAAGTCTTCATATGAGAGGCATCAACGGTCTTGCTGGCTGGCAATGGCTCTTCATCATTGAAGGCATTTTGACACTAGCCGTGGGAATCACTTTCATTTCCCTCTTCCCACAGTCAACCAACCACCCTGTGTCGCTGTTCGGCTACCGGTACTTCACGGAGCGAGAAGCGCAGATTCTCACCGCTCGTGTTATCCGGGATGATCCTTCCAAGCGCCATGCAAAGCAACACGTCAGCAGGAGCGAGCTCAAGGACGCAGTGAGTTTGCAAAAGCCCTACGCAGCCTCATTCCGTGCACATGCGCTGACAGAAATAGCTCACAAACTGGAGACTGATCCCCCACGTCATCACCACCATCTGCGGTCTTGCGCCGGCGGCTGTCATGATGTCGTATGGACCCTCGCTTGTTGTAAGCTTCGGCTTCGGCAGGCTCCGGTCAAACGCAATGATGTCGATAGGCACTTGGTGTGCTCTTGTGACAAACTTGGCCTGGGGCTACGCAGGGTAAGACCATTCATTGTTCAGAGTGTGCGTCCACAGGGCTGACAGGATGCAGAGATTATTGGGGCCGCCGTGGGCCGTTGGTCTTCCTCGGTGTTACACTTTTCGCTGCTGTGGCGGTATGTTGCTTGACCCTTTGTTGACTGAGATTGTGAAGGAAATTGCTGATTCTTGAAGATCGGTAACCGAGCTCTGATCTATTCCGATGATGCCAATGCCAAATTCGCGTTGCTGATGTTAGTCGGGGCCTTTGCGGCGCCATGGCGTAAGTCTCATGTCGCAGACTTGTGGAACAAAGGCTAATGCTTTCTCGCGTAGACCCCCTCAACGGGTCTTGGATGTCACTTAATGCTAAGTCGGCTGGCGAGAGATCCATCACCTTTGCCATTCTAATCATGTCGGCCAATAGCAGCGGTATTGTTGGCGGACAGCTGTTCCAGCAGGAGGATGCTCCTCTTTACAGAACCGGCTGGTCGGTCATCATCGCACTTGTCTCGTTAGCTGTCGTCTCCTCGGCTGTTTCCAACATTCAGTACTGGGTGTTGAACAGACGGAATGCTAAGAACGGAATCGACTATCGTTACAAGCTGTGAGGCAGGTCACGACTTATGGGCTATGGGGGAAGAACTTCACGCTACCACGTCAAATGCGAGCCTTATGCTTTTACTAGGCTCCATGTCTTTCATGCGACAGCCAGAATCACACTTAATTGGAAAACGAAATCTACCTGAGCTCGACCCGTATGCGGTGGTCAATGTTTTCTCTAGGCGGCTTACACTTGCCGTCAGCAGCGTATTATTAGCACAGCGAGCTTCGGCAGTTTGGCGGGCCGGGGGCGCAGTCTGCCAGGCTTTTCCGTCAGCACTTGACAAATGCGAATGGATATTCGACCAATGGCAATGCATCCATATAGGCTGAGCTTCCCTGACACGCCCGCCCGGCCGGGCTGGGGATGACTTCGCCTGCCGTGGCACCAAACAGACGGCGCTGTCAGAATAACGACCGGCCTCCAGAGGTCTTGCGCCGCGGCGGAACTCGATCCTTCCGATAGACAGTAACTTGACGGAAGCGCACGGCGTGAGCAAGTATGATGTTCGATTGTCAATATAAGAAGTCATGAAGTCCTGGTAGTCAGTGGTTTCTCCTCTTAGCATCAGCTTCAACAAACAGCATAACAATTGTTTCCTAGAGTCTTTCCTAGTCTATTTTCCTTATTTCCTTCTGTTATCTCATTGATCTTTGAGTCCTAAGAAAATCATCAAAATGGCCGTCACGTCTTTCTCTGTCGCCATGGCTCTGGTTGCTGCCGTCGCAGCCGTCCCTACCCCGACTCACCCCTCCGACCCCTCTCCCGTCATTGAGCTCACTGGTGTAACGCACACTGTTGTCGCCGGCCTCGGAGGCCTGCGCTTCGAGCCTGACAACGTCGTTGCTGAAAAGGGCGACGTTGTAGAGTGGCACTTCCTGCCTCGCAACCACGCAGTCGCGCAGTCCTCTTTCGGCGAGCCCTGCCAGCCCCTTGCCGATGGGACGTCGATCTACTCGGGCTTCAACTTTGCCGTCGAGGAGGGCCAGTCCGACAATGTCTTCCAGATTGTCGTCGAGCAGACAGAGACGCCCATCTGGTACTACTGCCCTCAACAGAACGGTGACCACTGCAAGAACGGCATGACCGGCGTCATCAACCAGAACTTCGACAACCAGAAGTTCAGTCTTCGGGCCCACCGCGAGCTGGCTGCCAAGGTTGACAAGTCGGTTATTCCCGCGGTCGAGGGCGGCGGTATCGTTATTCCCAACCCTAACCCTCTCTCCGGCTTCAAGCTCATGCACTGAGCATCTGGCCTGTGTGAGACAACATGCAAATGGCGTTTATGGTTTGAGAGAGGGTCATGGAGACATTGGCTTGGACATGGTTGGGGGCATTACATGGCGGCGTTACAATCTGCATTTCCAATATACAAACACTCGTTTGGACAATATTTTACGAAGATACAATACAAGCAACACCCCTTTTGTGAGAACTGATCACTGTGAGGCTTGGAATGGGAAGGCCGGACCAAGACATGTGTTGTGTGTGGGTCAGTAGGTCGGAAAATCTAGAGCTTTCACACAAGCCTCGCTCTGGCGGTATGCTGCCATGGCCTGAGTCCCTCAAGCGGTCTGTTTAGAACCTCAAGCCGCGCCGCCTGAATGGATGGTGTATGCACGGCCGGCACATAGGAGCGAGAGACCACGAATGTGGTTTGAAATCAATCCATAGAGCCTATCATACCACGCCTGGAAATTCCGTATAGTACACACAAGCGGCCCAGCCACATTCCAAGAACTCCTTGATCCTCACATGTATACCCGTCTCACTGCCCATATGTCGAAGGGGCAAAGCTGAAATCCACATCGAGCTCCTTCAGGAAGATATCGCCGAGGGTAGAGCCGTCACGCATGTATATCCAGTTGCCGGCCCCGGTGCCCTCCTTCTCGGCCTGTCCCTCGCCGAGGATGGCCCAGTCGTAGCGCTTCGGGCCGGAGAGCGGCGAGGAGAGCCAGATCTGCTTGTTGGGGGGCTGCTTGTTGATGACGTAGGTACCGTGCTCCGGGGTGTTGAGGGTCAAGACACCCGCCTGTTGCGGACGTTAGCTTGCAGTTCCACAGCTCCTGTGGGCGCGTATCTGTCGCACCGAATACTCAACATCGAATCCCTCGCGGGTCTCGGCCAGCTCCTCGAGCTTGGAGACGACAACGTCCATGTACTGGTCGGCCAGCTCGTGGTACTCGGCGTCCGTGAGCTCAGCGACGTTTACAGTAACGGGCGTCTCGGGGACGGTGGTGTCCTTGCCATGGGGTTCGCTGGTCTCAGGCATGATACCGCGGTTCATGGAAGAAGAGGTCGTGAAGAGCCTGCGGGCGGCGGTCGGACGGGCGAAGAAAGCATTGCGGGCAGACATGGAGAAGAGGGGACGGCGGGCGACAGCTTGCGCAATGGACGAGCTGCGGAAGCCACGAGCGGCAGCTCTGGGGACCGAGGCGAGACTGGAGGGAGCCATTGTCATGGAAATTCAAATAAAGGGGTATCTAGTCGATAACTCAAGGCGAGAGCTGATGTTGGAGACTCAATGAAGCGTAACAATGTGATGTGGAAGAGCCGAGGATGGCATGGAAGCAGAAGGGCAGCAGCTTCCCCACATGGAGCTCAAGCTTCAGGTTCGGGGAGCTGTCAGTACGCATGTGGTCCGAGCGTCGGTGAAGTCATGTGCCAGGGACAGGAAGTCAACCCCACCATAGAGATCAACGCGCTGCTGGTGCTTGGTCCCAGAGACTCACCAGGGCCCAAGTTGCGCCTAGGTGCTCGTTCTGTCTTCCATTACCGCGATGCAGCACCTCCATTCGCAACAATGATCAACGCCTTTCTGGTCTTCAATGGCCAGGGTCAACCCCGTTTGACCAAGTTCTACACCCAACTGGTTTGTAGTCTCCGCGTCTCCGCCCACAACAATACCGTGCTGACGCAAGCAACCTACCTAGGAGACGAGCATACAGCAGCGCCTCATCTCCGAGATATTCACACTGGTGTCGAATCGCCCGTCAGGTTCCTGCAACTTCCTCCCGCTGCCACCTCTGCTGGCCGCTTCCGGCACGTCGCACTCGTCCTCGTCCGAAGAACAGAACGACGTACCCTCTCTCGTCACATACCGCAACTACGCGACCCTCTACTTCATCGTCATCTCGACGGCGACCGAGTCACCCCTCGCCCTGATCGACCTCGTCCAGGTCTACGTCGAGTCGCTCGACAAGCTCTTCGAAAACGTCTGCGAGCTGGATCTGATTTTCAACTTCGAGAGCCTGCACGCAGCACTCGGCGAGATGATTGTCGGTGGCGTCGTCGTGGAAACAAACCTTGACCGCATCGTTGCGGGTGTGCGGGCGCAGGGCACCGTAGCAAAGCGGCCGGTCAACGAGAGCAGGTCGACGGGTCTGGGGTCGGGCATGGGCCTGGGTGGTAACTTTGTCTGGCACGGCCGGTAGGACGACCGCGCGCCGAGGAATTCACGACTGGACGAACAAGAACAAGGATGAGCGATACCACGATGATTGACTGCTCGGCAGAGAACTAGAGCAAACTATTTCAGAAAGCGCGCACGCAACTGTGCCAGCCTCCAATAGTATACATTGATGATTCCCACACCGTGGGAAGAGACATGACGCCAAAAACTCCAACCATGTATATCCAGCAGTCTATCATTTCGGGGTGTCTTCGCGAGCAGGTGGTGGCGCCGGCGCGTCGCTTCGTCGTTCGTAGCGCTTGTCGGCGTCAATGGCCCCGAAGATGCTCTTGACGTGTTTTTGAAACTGCTCTGGTCAGCATGGAGGAGCCCTGGAGGAGCATTCGTCACGCCTACCTCGTCCGATGCGCGATACTTTTGGCCGAAGAGATCGAGTTCCGAGAAGAACATGACTGTGACGAAGACTACGAGGCTATCAGCACATGCATCACCCCAATTGGAGACAGGTCACCTACCTGTCACAGTCACCAGCTGGACGATCTTGACGGCCTTGTTCCATCTTGGTCGGGCATACTTGAGAGCGACGCGGCGCTTGTACTTCTTCTCGAAGCGCAGCTGGGCTTGCGGCGTCAGCTTGGTGAAGTCGGGCGGCCACACCTTGCGCAGCTGATGGAGGTTGCCTGTCGCATTGTAGGTCGACTCGGTCGCCTGCGCAGCGCGTCGTATTAGTGTTGAGAGCATCGTTACGTCTGTTGCGATGGCTTCGGACTGGTCTCGTTCTCCAGTGCCTATCCGCCCTCAGGGAAGATTCAGAAAACGCTCGGCCCCAGTAGGTCGCCGAGCATGTGGGTCCCGCCCCGCCCCCACATCCATGTACCATGAGCCTCGATAGCCCCGAGTCGCTCTGCGTCGGATCCTGCATCTACCTTACCAGACCTCAATACCTACCTATAGGTCATGAAATGCCACGTCTATTATTCCATTGGTATGGTGTTGAGGGTGGCTTCGTACTAGTCCAAGACTTCAATATCCACACCCAGATACGCTAGGAAAAATATAACCGCTTTGCTTCCAAAGCATGGTTTTGGCTGGTTGCGCGCTTGGGCAAAGTACAAGCAGTGTGGAATCCAAGGGAATAGCATCCCCATAAGCACCTTTTCGCGGTGCTTAGGGGAGACACTGCGTTGGGTCGGTCGTGCTGTCATTTTTGGAGTGACATGGAGACAGAATTTGTCAAGTATCAAATGATTGACGCTAGCAAAGAGGCAGATCACAAACACCAAAGTCTCCCATCGCGAGTCGTCGGTGAGCATTTGGCAACTTAAAGCGCCCTCGCGGGCTGGGGATTGGAAGTCAAGGCGTTGCTTCAATCTTCGTAGCGGAAGTTACCCTGAAGCCCATGGGGCCTGGCAGGTGTTTGGTATCCGCATCATGTCAGAGTAGAATTAGAAAGTGAATGGTGGATATAACGTCAATCATTCAAGGGGCCACGAGGAACGGCTGGCGCGCGTAGGGTGATGAAACACCACACTCGGGGACGCCACGGCGGACTGAATCAAACAGAGAATTGAGAGAAGCCATCAATTGGGTCGTGAGTCCACCCACTTGGATACCATGTGGGCGTTTTCTCACCACTTCTTAGTGTATTGGGGCTTTACTCGAGCCGCACTCCAGCCAATGGACTTTACTCTAGTCGTCCACGGAGGTAATCAGGAGTTCGCTTCGGTTATAGAGGGCAATGCCTCTGTTTTTGCCCCTGGAGCACCGGCGTCAGGGTTCACAGATGGTAAGAGACCGCTAGAATGACTCCATGAGACTGCTGGAGCACCTGTTTGACATTTCCAGGTCTTCTAGCATCCTACCTTATTCGTGAAGCTCATAGGCTATGGCCTATGTTGCTGCTCGAGGTAGGGTTGAGTTATTTTCTGGCTAAGCAATCGCAGTCATAAAGGCTTATAACCGCAGATGTTGTCAAACAATCGATTGTCGCTTCAACAGGAGAAGATTGATACACACACATCTTTGACTGCAGGTGAAGCACCATTTCTAGGGCCCCTGATCGTGTTCAGCAGATTGCTCGCTGACTTTCAAGCCTATGATGCTGTTCTCCGTCTATTGGTCATGTTTGATACCGCAACTAACTTGCCTTGCATTGTTCGCGTACGAGAACCATGGAGTGATCGGCAAATCGACGCAGGACTTGGTCCTCAAGCATTACACTGCTGTTAATAACGTTATGTTTCCAACATGGTTCAAGTCTAATTACAACTATAACAACGTCATCGCAGACTTTACGGTTCGGGAAGTACTCATCAACAGTGTGGCCAGCACCGCCTTCGAAGTCAATGGCGATCCTAGGCCGGAGAATGTACCCACCAAAAGTTCTCTCTACAGCTCGACGGAGGTTGGAGGATTCTTCGAGAGTGCTGTCTGGAGTGGGGAGTATCGTGGAAAATTTGCAAACATCAAGGCGACCAATCCAGCTCCCGATTTTCCGGGGCTCTGGCTACTGGTCGTTGAGGATGCCGACCTCTATCGACAGATTGTGTATGAGCTCGACGAATATGTTGTCGTGGCTGATTGCCCGCCACACCAGAGCTTCTGGTCATTCGCTGGGTCAAGGAGAAGATTCGAAAGCCTATCAAATATGTCTGGTTAAGTCGCAGGTGACCTCTCCTGAAGCGATCGAGACACTGACGGCATCACAGCCTTCGCATCATCACCATGACCATATCTGGGGCATCAAGGACTATGTCAAGGCTGGAGCCAAGGTCCTCATCGTCGATATCGCGAGCGACTACTACTCTGCTATTCCTCGTGACAAGTTTGTTACGTACAGGTGAGTCGTCAATCTCCGTCAGTTGAGTTTCTCAGGCTTCGAGTTTTGAGATATCGGCCCCGCAGAAGAGTCGGGTGTTATCCTGCGTACCTTAGAAAGAAGGGAAAACACCATCATTATTTTGAGCCTCCGCCCCAGTGACTTTGCCGCACCTGATCCACACATGTCGGCTGACTAAGGTGGCCTATCCCGGTCGCCAGCCCACTCTCTTGGACTTGATGGCTGCCGATACCCCGCCAAACACCGCGGGGCACATTTTGCTCGACCTCCAAAACTTCACCGTGCTCCGATTCGTGACTCAGGTGGACGAAGACGACGACAATCCACGCTTCTCCGAACACTAAGACTGGCCACCGAACCTCGAGGGCTTTTACACCCGCATTGACATCCTCCATACATTGCCCGCCATGGCGACGGCCGACCCCGCCAAGGAAATGGAGAATCTCCAGATCTCCAAGACCAAAGAGCTCAAGGGCACCGAGAAGCGCGACACACTCATTGCTATCGAGAAGAAGTACCAGCAGCAGTGGGCCGACAGCAAGATTTTCGAGATTGATGCCCCCTCGATTGAGGAATACCCCTTCGACTCCATATCCGCCGAAGAGCTGCGCGAGAAGCACCCCAAATGGTAGCGACACCAGTCCCCGCAGACGACGACGATTAGGTACTGACCGGTCCAGGTTCGGCTGCATCGCATACAGCTACGTCAATGGAAAACTTCACGCCGGCCACGTCTTCTCCCAGAGCAAGGTCGAGTTCGGTGCTGGTGTACGTCTGTCGGACACGTCGGCAAGAGTCCTGCTAAATCATCACAGACCGCGCGCATGTCTGGCAAGCGCGCCCTGTTCCCCATGGGTTGGCACGCGACCGGTATGCCCATTCCCGCCGTTGCCGACAAGCTAAAGTACGAGATTGAAAAGTTCGGCCGCGACTTTGAGGGATATAAGGAAGAGGAGGAAGAGGCTGAGGAGCCGGCGCCGGTGACCACTGTGAAGCGCGACGATGTCACCAAATTCACCACCAAGAAGAGCAAGGCCACGGCCAAGACGGCCAAGGCCAAGTACCAGGTGCGTGATGATAGGCCGTGGTGCTGTGGACTCTCTGCTGACAGTAGCAGTTCCAAATCATGCAGTCCATGGGCATCCCCACTGAACAGATTCACCTCTTTGCCGACGCCCAGTACTGGCTCACCTTCTTCCCCCACCTCGGCCAGCAGGACGTCACCAGCTTGGGCTTCCGCGTTGATTGGCGCAGGTCCTTCATCACGACCGACATCAACCCCTACTATGACGCCTTCATCAGGTGGCAGATGAACCGCCTCAAGGAGCTCGGCAAGATCAAGTTTGGCAAGCGTTACACCGTCTACTCCATCAAGGATGGCCAGCCCTGCATGGACCACGACCGATCCGAGGGTGAGGGTGTCGGCCCTCAAGAGTACACTGGTCTCAAGATGAAGGTCCTCGAATGGGCCCCCAAGGCCAAGGAGGCTCTCGAGAGCAAGCTTCCCGCCGATGCCAGCGTCTATCTCATCCCCGCCACCCTCCGCCCCGAGACCATGTACGGACAGTGCGCTCTCTTCGTGTCGCCAAAGATCAATTACGGCATCTTCAAGGCCTCCGACAAGGAGTACTACCTCGTCACGCACCGGTATGTTTGCGTCCTCTTCATGTACCGAGGCCGATAGAAATGCTGACATCGCTAGCGCCTCGCGCAACATGGCCTACCAGGGTGTCTTTGCCAAGGAGGGTGAGATCGAGCACCTCACCGACATCTCCGGTGCTGATGTTGTTGGCTCCCTCGTCAATGCGCCCCTCTCTGTCCACTCTGAGGGCGTCCGCGTCTTGCCCATGGACACCATCCTGCCTTCCAAGGGCACGGGCGTTGTGAGCTGCGTTCCCTCCGACAGCCCTGCCGACTGGATCACCCTGATGGACCTTCGCAAGAAAGCGGCGTACTACGGCATCGAGCAGGCGTGGGCCGAGCTCGACGTCGTGCCCGTCATCGATACCCCCATGGGTGACCTCATTGCCAAGACTCTCTGCGAGCAGCTCAAGATTGGCTCTCCCAAGGATACCGTTCAGCTCGAGAAGGCCAAGGACACGGCGTACACTGAAGGGTGAGTTTGCTTCCACGGCGGCCGCATATCAACATGACTGACAGGCGCAGCTTCTACAAGGGCACCATGAAGGTGGGCGACTACAAGGGTGAGGCTGTGGAGACCGCCAAGCCCAAGGTGCGAAAGCAGCTCATCGACGGCGGACTGGCCTTTGTCTACTCGGAGCCTGAGCGCAAGGTCATCAGTCGTTCTGCCGACGAGTGTATCGTCGCCCTGATGGACCAGTGGTACCTCGACTACGGTGAGCCTACCTGGAGAGACCAGGCGCTCGAGTGGGTTGCCAACGCCGACGGCAAGGGACTTGAGACCTTTGGCAACGAGACGAGGAACGCATTCGAGGGTGTCTTGAACTGGCTGAACCAGTGGGCGTGCGCAAGGAGTTACGGCCTCGGCACCAAGCTGCCGTTCGACCCCAAGTTCGTCGTGGAGTCGCTCAGCGACAGCACCATCTACATGGCCTACTACACCATCTGCCACTTCCTCCACGCAGATATCTACGGCAAGGAGCCCGGAACGCTCAACGTCTCGGCCGACCAAATGACCGATGACGTGTGGGACGCCATCTTCTGCCGCCGCGAGCTCGATGACGAGGTCATCAAGGCGTCGGGCATTTCGAAGGAGGCTCTGCAGACGATGAAGCGCTCTTTCGAGTACTTCTACCCTCTTGATCTGCGATCCAGCGGAAAAGATCTCATCGGCAACCATCTCAGTGAGTGTTGTTGTGCCCGCACATAAGTAACAAGCTAACAGTGCAGCCTTTTTCCTGTACATCCACATTGCCATCTTTCCCAAGAAGTACTGGCCCCGCGCCATCCGCACCAACGGCCATCTCCTGCTGAACGGCGAGAAGATGAGCAAGTCGACAGGCAACTTCATGACCCTCGAGGACATGGCCAAGAAGTACGGCGCTGACGCGTCGCGTATCGGTCTCGCCGATGCCGGTGACACGATGGGCGACAGCAACTTTGAGGAGGACGTTGCGAACCAGGCGATTCTGCGTCTGCACACGGCGCGTGGTATGTGATGGACCTCGTCCCCGAAAGATGATGCATTGCTGACACTTACAGACTGGTGCGAGGAGACGGTCAAGAACAAGAGCGAGCTGCGCACGGGCGAGTACAACTACTTTGACGAGATCTTCAACAACGACCTAAATGCGCTTGCCAAGGAGACGATTGCGCAGTACAGTACGTGGTAGTCCGGTCTTTACGATGGAGGATGGCAACGGCTGACATGGACCCAGAGGAAACTTCCTACAAGCTGGCGCTCAAGGCTGGTTTTTACGAGTAAGTCAACCCACCATTCCATCATGCAACCGGCATGGCGCATTTGGAAAATGCTGACTTGACAAGCCTCAACAACGCCCTCTCATTCTACCGCGAGAGCACGGCCAGCTCCAAGATGCACGTGGACCTGGCGATCCGGTTCATCGAGCTGCAGTGTCTGCTGATTGCCGTCATCGCGCCTCACTGGGCGGATTCCGTGTGGCAGGAGATCCTTAAGAAGCCGCAGTCGATCCAGCTCGAGCTGTTCCCCGAGGTGCCGGAGACGGACGCGTCGCTCACGGCGGCGCGCAAGTACATTGCCAGCACGGCCTCGAGCGTCAACTCGGCCGAGTCGCTGCAGATGCGCAAGAAGGCCAAGGGCAAGGAGGTGGCGTTCGACCCGAAGAAGGCCAAGAAGCTGACGATCACGATGAACGAGAAATTCCCCGCGTACCAGGAGCAGCTGACGACGCTGCTCAAGTCCATGTGGGACCCGGCGACGAAGTCGGTGGACGACAAGGCGCTCAACAGCAAGATCTCCAAGGCGGACATGAAGAAGGGCATGCCGTTTGTGCAGGCGCTGAAGAAGCGCCTCCAGGCGGGCGAGGCCGAGGCCGACGTGTTCGAGCGCAAGCTCGCGTTCGACGAGACCAAGGTGCTGCTGTCCATGGTGGACTACCTCAAGCGCAGCGCGAACCTGGCCGAGGTGCAGATCATCAAGGCACAGGAGGGCGGCAACGGCACGGACGTGGTGACGGGTGCGGCCATCGACAAGGCGGCTATGCCGGCCAACGCCGAGAGCGCGCTGCCAGGAAGCCCGGCGTTCCTGTTCGCCAACGTCGAGTGAATGTAGGGGTTCTTGTGAAGGGAAAGAAAAAAAAATGACATGATGTTTGATGATTGTGCTCAACATGACGATACGCGTTGTGATGCCTGATGGCCTACTGCTTACGGACACAAGTTGCCGTCTCGACCCTCAGTCGTAGGGCCAAGCGGCCAAGGCCAAATAGCCGGACTCTGAGACACAAACGCCGGGGGGGCATGATGTGATGGCGCCCAGGCGGATGGCGACAGCAGGCCCTGGGCAGGCGGTGTGTTGCGACGGATGGCGATGGTGGTGTTCAGGCTCCTAACGGAACACGATGAAGCGATCGATTGAATGCATGTGGCTTGCCGAGCGTCGTCAGCCCCATTTAGCTACAGGGGCGTGGCTGGTGTGTTGTGATGGGTTGGGCAAAAGGCGGCGGCTCGGAGCTGAGACCTGGGAGCTGGGAAACCGGGCGACGATCCTTGTTTTGCTCTTGGGCCCAGTGACGTAGCGCATTGCCCCTCCTCACCGTGAAGCTCTCGTTTCCATCAATGTCAACATGGCGGGACGGCGTCAAAGAAGGGTTATCGGAAACGTTGCCGACGGACGAGATCAGAGGGGACCAGAAATTGGCGCAATGAGACAAAAAGCAGGAAATCACATTTGGGGAACCGCCGTCACTGCAGGGTCTCCAGCTAGACACGCCGTTTCTGTAGTTTCTTCATTTTCCAGCCTCATCCTGTTTCTCACGTTGCGACTCGGCCGCGCCAACGGACGGACGAACGAACGAAAGGCCGACCCTCACGCACGCCATTGCGATGCTATCCATTTTCCTGTTTACCTGCCGATGATGCGATCCCTCTTCTCTGTGGTCTGTCGGTTCTTGTTTCCACCCCGCCATGTCGCTCATGCGGGCCCTGACCGCCAACCCTTGTCTGTCTGACGGTGCCCAGCATCGACCCTGACCCTCAAGGGCCCTGCTGCCATGCCACTACCAGCCTTCGGCCGTTCACGTCCTCCAACGAGATGCTGTGAACCGAGAGAAACCCCAGCCGTGCTCTTCTGCCTGCCGTGCCGTGGCACCGTGGAAGCTGACGTCTATCTGACTCCACATCCTTGTCCACCACGCTGCAGCATGGAGCAGGAAACCCAAACCCCCCGGCTGAGAGCACCTTTGCCAGCATCCTGATTTGGCCCCTGGCAACGGTGCCCATCGTCAAACGTCCCTCTACTGGGTCTGAATGTGCCCTGCTGCCGTCCAACGCCTGGGCGCCGGCATGGCATTGCCTGGCATACGTCTGTCTGGGCAGAGTACGCCAGGGCAAGTCAGCGGCCCGTACTGAGTGACGATGATGTCGTTTCCATCGTGCATGATGACCTGTTCTGCCAGCCCTCCCACTTGGGCTATATAGCTCAGCCTCAAGCGTGCCCATCTTGCCTTCAGATTCCTTCATCCTCATCCTCATCAGCCTCAGTTCTCAGCATCAGTCTCCAGTCGCTACTCAGCAACCCGCTCCAGCCCGTCGCTACATCTTCCAACAAACCATCAACCCCTCCATAATCAAAATGCGCTCCTCCGCCGTCCTCTTCCTCGCCGCCGCCGGCCTCGTTGCCGCTCAGGAGACCGTCGACACCACGACCGTCACCGTCTCCGCCGAGACTGCCACCGTCACGGCGTCCGAGTCCGAGACGACCCTGACCTGGGAGGTGGACACCACCACCATCTGGTCCGGCACCGAGACCGAGACCGTCTGGGTCCAGCCCGGCGGCGACGACGCCACCGAGACCGAGACCGAGGCCACCGCCACCGAGACCGAGACGGTCACCGTTCCCGTCGTCGTCGTGCCCAGCGTGCCCAGCGGCGAGGACGGCGAGACCGCCACCTCCACCTGGTACGAGGAGTCCTCGACCATCACCCTCGTGCCCGTCGAGACGACCTCCTTCGTCATTGTCTACAACGACATTAGCTGTACGTAACACCCTGCCCTGATCCTCCATCCTAGAGTCTTTTTTTTTCTTCTTTCTTTTCTGTTTGCTGACCTGCCACCAGCCGCCACCACCGTGACTACCACCCTCTACACCCCCGCCCCCAACGCCACGGCCTCCGGCATCGAGACCGTCCCCACCGCCGGTGCCGGCCGCATCGGTGCCTCGGGCGCCGCTCTCGTCGCCTTTGGTGCCGCCGGTCTCGCCCTGCTGTAAGGGAGCGTCTGCCGCTTGGTACGAATGGACTGTGTAATGCTGAGAACACGCGACTGCACGGCCTCTTATGTTTTGCATGAATGAGTAACGGACGACTTTGAGTAGCGGGATGGGCGTTTTTTCTCCTTTTACATCTTGTATATTTTTTTCTTCTTCGTTGGAGAACGCTGTTCAATAGTTTGGGGGGATTGGAATGGTGGTGGGGTAATACTGGGAGCATTAAATGCTATACTTATGATACATTTGTACGTGCCATTGCATGTGTGAGCATAATGTGATGCTTGTTCCACTTGTCGGGTCAGTCGGTGAGCTGTCTGAGGTCTCCCTCGTATGCTCGACTCCAGTAGACTGGCCAAGGTCTAATGATTGCCGTAGCCAGCTGATGGCCACCTCTACAAGGGTGTCTCGGTGCTTATGGTTCGACACGAGCCCGTAAGATGGCACCCGTACTTAAGCCCAATGCCTAGGTTGTCTGGTTATATCTCATCAATTTTGCTTACAGGCGAAGGCAACACGTCAGGAAAATAGCCATATCCCCCTGTTCTATCACCACTCTCCATTAGGCCTCACGTGGAAAACACATGGAACTGCAAATCGCTTCTTAATTTTATCAGCCTTGCAATGTGGAACTTACATGCCCTCGTGCTCGATAGTTCGAAAACGCAGCAGATGCTGCGAAGCAACAACCCCGGCGAGATGAGAATCATTGTGCCTGAAGCTTCAGTTCCGCAGTCTTTCGAAAGCTAAGCCTGCCTCACATAGTGCATGGATCAAGTGTATGTTCCATTTTTGCGGAGTCAACCGTCTTCTTCAATGTTATGCGCGAGGGGATTATGCGCAGGGGTTTTTGAATAGCTGTACCATCCTGCCTCTGCTCCATCCTATGAGTGTGGACGAGCGCCTGGTTCTTCGCCATTGCCTGGGTAAAGTCGAGATCTTTGGTCCAGATTGGGTATGCAGGAGGGTGGAAGATGTTTCTCCAAAGCTGGCTTGAGACTGAACTGAGAATGAAGGCTTACTTGCGGCCCTTACGGCCAGCTCGTTGTTACTATCACAACCTTCTCTTTCTACCACTTAGATTTCTGGACCCTCACCAACACCACCACAGCAGCAACGACAGCTACAACGACGGCAACATCGACAGCGTTGTAGATGTCTTCCATTCGTCAATTCCCTGGAGGTATATCTGACGGGGGCCTCTCAAAATCATACCGGCTTCTGACACTACATGAGCAGCAGATCCCTTGCCCTTGACGCGATCATAGCTGCACGTACTTCTCGCTCTTGTCACCTCATGTGCTAATACATTCCTGGCACAGGCCTAAGGTTCGGCGAGACGGCGGCCACGTTGACCATGCCAAGAAGGCTCGGCGAGATTTGCTGCTGAGGGTCCTCCGAAATTGCAGGCGACAACCTTGTAGCCCGCGTCGACTGTCTCGTGCCTAGCACCTGTGCTCGTTATAGCACGGGCAATGCCAAACATAATCTTTCCCGTGTCTGACACCGTATGCGCAGTTGTAGATACAAGCCCAAGGCCATGTCGACCAGCAGCACCCGTACGACAGCAGCACCTTGTATAGCGGCGAAAATCTTCTATTCGGTCGATTAATGCAAGTAATTTCTTCTCAAATTCTGGATCTCTTCGTATCATTAATATTTGGTTTCCTCCGCATTTGCGGACGCGAAGCACAAATACTTGATGTGAGTACTAGTGAAGGATCCAAAGTGATCCACGAATGCCAGGCTATCATCGCAATCCTCCTCAAGTGCCTCTCTATGAATGTCAGGTATCGTGACTACAAGGAGCCTGACATGCCCCCTCTTGACGCACTTTGCATCACTACCAAAGCCAGGCAGAAAGCCGCACGAGTTAGCGCCGTTTTTCAGCAATCTTTCCGATCCGGCCAAACACAGCCAGCTCCAAAGACGACTCCGTGCACAGTCGGGTAAGACTGACCTCCCTTTCCGAAGATCCTACGGACTAAGGTCACATGATTACGCGGTTGGAACGCGAGTTCATTCGTCGCGCCCCGCGTCAAATCTCGCGAACCCCTCACGATGTGCGCCACTGCAGTCACAGCTGAATTTGGCGCCAGGCAGCAGCGGCGCCGGCGCAGGTGTGAGATTATGTTACCCTATCTTGCCTACTCTTCTTCTTTCCTTTTGCAGAACTGAAGTTGAATCCTCAAGTGGAAAGGATAAATTGAGTGAGTCTGCCACCGGCTGGTCGGCTTGGGCTTCAGCCCTTCACTTCGTTGCAACATACCAGCCCCAATTCCACCTGTCCAGCCAGACATCACTTCCTTCCCAACATACCAAGATCATTTCTCTATTCCATAGCCCAAACACAATGTCGAACAAGCCTACCTTCTTCGTCAACGCCTCTACCTCCTCCCCAGAAAAAGCAAAAGTCTTCTACACTGCCCTGGGCTTCACCCCTGCCGAATGGTGCGACGTCCCAACCACGAAGGCGTTGACTCTCCCTGCCCCAAATGAGAACATTTGCCTCATGATACATGCCGTCGACTGCTTCAAAAAGTTCATCCCCCCGGACGCTACCATCGCCGACACCGCCAAGACCAACGAGACGCTTCTGACCATTGCCGTCAACTCGCGCGACGAGGTGGACGCCCTGCTCGCCAAGGCCGTCGCTGCTGGCGGCAAGAGCGATCCCTACACGATGAAGGACCACGGGGCTGAGATGGGCATGTATGTTCGTAGCTTTACTGATCTGGACGGGCACCTCTGGGAGGCCTTTTTCATGGAGTGGCAAAAGGCTGAATAAGGTGGAATCCAGTTTGGGCGCTTAATTGTGCGGCTAAAATGTATTTACGGCTGGTTCATGTCAAATGTGTGGATGCTGTCTCGTGTTGGGACTTTTGTATTTGAAAGGTGCTCACGCATGGGCAGTGAAATTGTTAACGAACACGAGCATACAACTTCATTTCTTCATAAAGCTGCTACGAAGGTCACGAGGACCATAGTCAAGCTCGTATCAAAAGTTGCAGAGATCGTCAAGACCAAAGGATTCGCCTCAGTGGAGTCTTCGTCCTCACACGTACTCCAGTCTCTTCTCGTCCCACCCAGGACGCAGGTACTCGCCATCGAAGCCAAGATCGAAGCTCGTAGTGTGGACATAGTCCAGCTCAAGCTCGACCTTGATCTCAGAACCGTTGGCATCCTGGCTCCACAGGGTGACGGCGATGGCGTTCTCGCCGTGGTAGTCCCAGATGCCAGGGGGAACAGGGAAGTGGACCTGGTTGCCGATGTGGGGGTTGAATCTGCCGAACTGGTAGCCGTTGACGAACAGCAGAGCCCTGACGCGGTTGCTGTAGCCAGACTTGGTGGGCTGGAAGGTCGAGTCCGAGGGCGCCGTCAGCCTGAAGGAGATGGCAACGTCGAGGCCGGCGGGGACGTCGAGATCGACGGTAGTGCGGTATACGCGAACTCCAGCGCCAGGCACGTCGAGAGTCGTGGCGTTCAAGGGGTAGGGCGTGAAGGACTCGTCCGAGAAACCAGGCAGGTGCACGCCGATGCGTTCGGCGTACAGGCCTCCCTCGTTGAGAGGGCCACGGACGGGGTCGATGTTGGCCTGACCGCCACCTGCCGTGCCGGCAATCTTCCACTCAGAGAAGCGGTATGCCTCGCTGCTGGGACCGATAAGGGTGGCGTTGGAGATACCACGGGGCGCCAGAGCTGCCTCACGCAGGTCGTGACCAGAGTTGTCCATGAGGACCGTAAGGACGTTCTCGCCTTCTGTCGCCAGGGTGGCGTTGTCAAAGGAGAGCTCCTCAGCCCAGGCACCGAGGTATGAGTATCCAAGGTACGAGCCGATGTAGTCACCGTTGAGCCAGGCGGAGTAGCCGAAGGCAAGGCCACCAGTCAGGTTGAGGAATACGCCGGTGGGGGGCTCATCGGTCGAGGGGAAAGTGGCGCGGAACAGGTGGTTGCCGACGTGGACTTTGTACTCGTCAACGTAGAGGACTGGGTTCGAGAGATCAGGAATCTCAGTGTTGCTAGTCTCGTTTCGGTCGGCGACTGCAAAATGTTAGAGACTGAGGAGAATTCAAAGACTGGACCTCTTACCAATCCAGGTCGACGGCGACGCCTCGTAGTCGGGCGCAATCTCTGGCAGACTGTCGTCGTACTTCCACGATCCAAGGACCGGAAGCTCAAACTTGGCCGGTCCATCAAGGCTGAAGGTGAATTCGTTTCCATTGCGCGATTCAATGGCTACCTTCTCTCCGTTCCAGGAGATGGAACAAAGCGAAGAAGGGCCGAAGACAGTGACGGTCGTGGGGCCGTCCAGATCACCACGCAGGTCAAGACCACGGTTTGTCTCGTTGATGGAGGCGTGACGGACCAGGTAGGGGCCTTGGACCAGAACTATAGGGACGGTCAGCAAATACCAGGGGCGCACTGGGAATCATTCTACATACCAGTCTTGTTCTCGACAAAGAATGGGTTGTTGTCCAGCCTATGAACAGTCAGTTGTCTGCGATAGAGCTCAATCATATATCGACTTACTGAGGGGCCCAGAAGTGATAGGCGGCTTTGCGGTCGAGAAGAACGACGGAGGAACCATCCTCAAGTTCGACGTTGAAGATGCCCTTCTCTTGGGTGTAGGACACGGTGATGCTGTCTTCGCCAGGGTAGAAGTCGATCTTGCCAAGGCCCTGCTCTCCGGACTGAGCATCAGTCACACCGTTGACGACAAACTCGCCCGACTCGCCCTCAGGGAGCCACAAGACGAGCACCTCCTTCTCATTGAAAACAGCGTAGGTCAGGACTTCGGCGGTCGAGTAGAGGAGGGTCTTGCTGCCGAAAGAAAAGTCCGTGACGAGAATCTTTGCTTGGTGGCCATTGATGGTGATGGAGCTGTGCTGGGGAATGGTCACTGCATCATGTCAGCGTTCGGCCCGAGGTGCATAGTTGGATAGAAAATCTCACGGTCGCCAGCGGATGTCTTGACATCGAGCTTGAAGGTCTCGCGAGTGCCAGAAGAGGAAGTCTGGTGCATGACGACGTAGAAACCGGCATCGTTATCGATGTTTCGAAGCTCCGAAGCGGCGATGGCTGGGTTGTTGGTGTACGACGTGCTCTGTCTTCATGTTAGTACCAAAATCAGCCAGACGTGGTGGACGTTGAACTTACGTTGCCCACCCTCTCTGTCTTGTACAAGTCCTTGGCCACTAACCGAATGTCAGATCTTCCAGTCAAGTAAAGATGACCTCGCGTGCTTACCTCGGGTGAAGAGGGGAAGAAGCTTAGTCTCATAGTACTTATCGCCAATCTTGCGGTTCTCCGACACGGGAGATGAATAGTCGTAGCTGGTGGCTTTTCGTTGTTAGTTGGGTTTTGCGCGGGGAAACATGAAAGCCTACCGACAACGGGGCAGGAAAGCCATCCCTAGAGATGAACGTTAGCATGACCATGTTCAAACAAAGTATAAATTGGCACCACGTACGTGGTTTGTTCCTCCAAACATCATGTAGAGTGAAATGGCAGTGACGTGCTGGTACACGAGGTTGCGGTAGAAGATATTGGCGAAATCAGCCCCGGTGTCAGCAGGGCATCCACCTGTCAATGGTCAGGTCAAGGTTCTCAAGTCTGGACTTTTCAAACGTGCCTTCAGGGCCACCCCAAACATTGTAGCTGCCTCTGTTCTGGATCAGTTTATTGTCCCAGGGTAATAGTACACTGGCGGTACCGTGGTGTGCTCGACGTACCCCTGGAACTCCGGCATGAAGTTTGGTTGCGATGCTAATGTCTGGTTAGATCAAGAAAACGCTCATGATTATTCATCTGGGCTGCAGGTTTCGTGACTCACGAGATTGGACCTGGAAGTAGTCATAGTAGTTGACCACGCTCTGCGAAATATTAGCATCTATAACGCGGACCCTTGGGGTTCGACTAGACTGACGTATGGGACGTATTCGCCGTTGAACTACACCATGTTAGAATTCGACCATGCTCCTATCGTTACAGACGACAACTCACGTTCGTGCACTCGGACAGGTTGCAGCTCCAGCAAGACGGGTAGCTGTCAACGCCGACAGTGTCGACGTTACCAGTAGCATTGGAGAAGTCCTTCGACCAAGAGTAGCCCCTCATGTTGGGAGCATTGTGGAAGACGGGCACATCAATGCCCGAGTCCCGGGCACTGTCTTGCAAAAGCTGCATGTAGTTGGCGATGGGTGGGTTGAGGATCTTCCTGCCAATGTCCTTCCACTGGCCATTGAGTTCGTTCTCAATCTGGAACATGGCGACATTTCCACCGTTCGTAACGAGGTGGGGAGCGATGATCTTCGAGATCTCCTCCCAGTAGGGTGTCCAAGCCTTGGTGTACCTCGGATCATCGTCGCGAAGGCTGCCGTACTCACCGGTGGTGAGCCACAGGGGGAAGCCGCCGGCGTTGGTCTCGGCGTTGACGTAGGGTCCGGGGCGGATCAAGAGGTAGATGCCGACCTCTTTCGCGATCGTCATGAGGGACACAAAGTCGTGAGCACCGCTGGTGAAGTCAAGAACTCCGGGTGATGCCTCGTGATAACCCCTGTCACACAAGATGTTAAAAGCTTGTCACCCCGCGGTTTCTTGTCATGCACAAACCAGCTGTTGTAGATCGAGAAGGCGTTGAAGCTGTGAATCCATTGATCAGTCCGCCGGTCAGTTGAGTCCTGAAAGTATGTCTTTTCTCACCCTGCTGCCTTCATCTTCTCGAGCAAGTCTCTCCATAGCTCCGGGCTGGGCATTGTCAGTTGCATACACCACACAAGCATTCGGTATGGTCACTGACACTGGAAGTCGCCAGTAGTGGAATCTTTACGGTGTCAGTCTCATCTTCAACGTCTCTAGTCTAGGACCTATTCTTACTCTCCGGAGAAGATGAAAAGGCGCTCGCCGTTGATCATGTAGCTGTAATGATCCCTGGAAACACGTCAGGGCCATCCCCCTCTCTCGCAATCTCCCAAGTCTCACCATTGGACCACCTTGTTCAGGCCATTGTCGTGCAGAGGCCACTCGGTCACGTTCTGCGCCTGCGCGCAGAGTCCGCCAAGGGCCGCAAGAGCAGCTGCGGTCGTAGAAAGCCTCATATTTCTGGGAGTAGAGAACGTAGCTCGCGTGACCAACCACTCTCATCCCACGGCAGAGCACGCTTAATCGTCTTTATACCGTCCCGCTATCTTGGAAAAAAAAAACTTCGTTATAACGGCACCGAGAAAGTAAACAAAATTTCCCGGGCCGGTTCTCTCGCGATTCGGGGGTGAAGGGGCCGACAGTGAGGGGTGCATGGTCGATCTTCCGCGCGACATCACGGTTCCTGTTAGCCGCGTCAATGAAAATCAGGCCCGTCGGCCGTTGGGGACGGAAGCTCAGCGTCAGGGGTCAAGTAGCGTCGCATCGTCCCACAGATTTGATCTCGCGCTGCATCTGCCATGTCTATCGACAGCGGAGAAAGCAGTATTCAGCCGGGCTCGCCTGGGGTCGCCAACGGAGTTTCTGCTCAAGTCGGTCAATCGGCCGCGACGGTAGATCAAAGTGCCGAGGTAGCGCCAGTCTGGAGAGGTCAATCGATGCTTGTTTGACTGAGAGGTTGGCGATCCGAAGCTCCGCTGCTCCGCTGGGGTGACGGCCAGTGCCGGTGGTCAGTGGATAGCTGGGCAGACAGATGACCACTCGGCAATCGAGCCGAATGAGAGTCGCGGCGTATTCGGCTTGCGACTGATGTCATTTGCGGGGGAACTGTTTATTGACCATGAAATCTTTGTTTTTCGTTTGCACGATGTGACCGTGTTTATCTGGATTGTGTGATGTTGGATGGAACAGATGTACGGTCTGAGATCTACCCCATGACATCGCACGTGTCAATTGCGTCCAGCGTATTTTTGTGCAGTAATACTCGCTACCTCACCACGTGGTGTACCGCTGTCGACGCTCCATTTGGTAGAGATCTCCAAGATGATCGATCACCTTGACCTGGGAGGCTGTGCCGTAGTGTTAAGTCGTGGAAGCTCTACATGGAGCTCTTTGGTACCTGACTGTGCGAATGAGAAGTCGAGAAAGGCCAGGTCTCGGCAATACACCAGAGTAACCAACAAAAGCAATCTTGCAGCGGCTCAGAGAGGCTTCACCAAGATGCTGGAAAATCCGGCTTCGACTCTCTGTCCGTCTTCGTGGGCGAGTAACCTCAGGCATTCCAGTCTAGCGACACCTCGATCTGTACACTGAGGTATTGAGTCGTAATCTGCTTCATCTGACACCTGCTTCAAGTCTGCTGTAGATGTTGAAGTTGGTAGTTCCTTCAGCAACAGGTCCACAGACGTGTGTAGACACCTCATCAGCCACGATTTCAAGGTCCTCGCTTCTCGTGGTTCACCTCGATCCGGGTTTTTGTGACTCTAACGTTGGACTGCTCAAAATGCAGTCCCTCACAATGTCTCGTCAAAGCGCTCTCGATCGCAGATGTCTTCTGAGTTGGGCTGGCTGCTTCCGTAATGGCAAGGCAGTGAGAGTAGAAGACCAGATTCGAGGCCAAACCCGAGAACTGGGCGCAATAATCAACGGGCCAACCAAACAAATTCTTGCAACCGAAGGGCAGGGAACCTCATCCTAGATGAAATAAATTGCGAGTGATGGGGACGAGGCCAAGGAGGCCAATGTCTGGTCCATGGATACCTAGGGTCTGAGTCAGCCGGCGTTGTACATGTAGCAGCCCCAGGAAGGTGTCACCAGCGAGGCGCGTCTGCCTAGACCAGGACTTCCGCGCACCTCGGATCTTCTCCATCCATCCTTTCTGCATCCTCATCCTCCTCTGTCCCCCAGGAACAACTTTGTCGATCAATCAAATGACCACCCCCACGTTTGCGAGCCAGCCGCACACATGCACCCAGACATCCCCAGATTAGCACCCTCTGGCAAAGCAGGCGCCAATGTGCCAAGGAAGCGAAAGAGGCCTCATCAGTCCCCCAAGCCTGATCCCCACTCCACCTACGACGCCCTCCCGTCGCCTGGGGCCACCCTTAGTTGGCGCTTTGAGGCGTCGTCTTGGGGGCGGGATCGCCACATCGCACCGCTGCCTGCACAACGGCCCAACCAGGGTCAGCACTACCGACGGGCCAGCCCATCAGCGTGCGCTTCACACCTCTACGCGCTTGGCGGCTCCCTCCTAAACTGCGTGATTCCGGACAGGGGATATCGTGAATGGGCATTGTTGCCTTGTCGAGCCGTCAAGAACGTCGTCGCATTGGCCTCAGCTCTCCAGGCAGCCTAGGAGGATTGCTTTCTCGCCAAGGCATCGAGCCCGAGGATGGCCTTCCCGATGACTCAGTCCACTGTTGTGGCTGCATACTGATCATGTCCAGCTTCAATCCGTGAAGCAGATGGATCCGCCAGAGTGTGTATAAGAGAGGCGTGGAGCCGTCGCTCAACATGCCAATGTCGTTGAGGGAACATCTCAAACTTCTTTCATCTTGTACATCCACTTTCAACATGGCTGTCACCAAGCGACTGGCTTCCGAAATGGCAAAGTCCACCTCCGACGCCTCTTCCTCTGCCAATGCCGCTGGCACCGACAACTCCGATGCCACGCCTGTAAACGGCGATGCCGCTGCCAAAAACACGTGCTGCTGTGGCAAGAAGAAGAAGGCCGCGAAGAAAATTGTCGAAGAAGATGAGAAAGAGGAGGAGAGCGACGAGGACGAGGACGAGGACGAGGACGAGGACGAGGACGAGGACGAGGACGAGGACGGGGACAACTCTGACACTGAATCCGTCGACTCCAACCCAGATGCCGAGATCGGTTCCATCAGCACGGTGAAGAACATTTACCGCTCCAAGAAGGACGACGACGGCAACTGGACCTGGCAGAGCGCGTACCCCGACGACGTCATCAGCCCGGCGGAGGACAAGTCCACGGCCAAGTACGCCGTGCTCGTGCGAAACATCAAGAGCACCGCCGCCCACAAGAAGCTCGAGGCCCACTCGATCGCCATCCAGAGCCCCTGGCTGAAGAAGGCGCTCGGTCACATCCTGGAGGACTACCCTGGTGTCGCCTGTGAGCTCGCAAAACTCGAGTTCGAGGCACCCTTCCAGCCCTTTGTGCACCGATGGACCGAATTCGTTGAGTACAGAAAGAGGGAGGACCTCGATGACCTGACCAAGGAGCACCTCACTGTTCTCCACGACATTCTTGTCTACGAGATTGGGCAAGATATTGCTGCTTTCGAGGACTACATGAAGACCAAGGTCATCACGTTTGAACATCTCTGGATGATCTTTGCTCCCTCAGACATCATCGTGGCCGCTCACCAGGGACCGCTGTCGGCGTTTGAGATGTACGAGACCGAGTACAAGGAGACGCGGTGCGGCAATGTTCTCGCCATTACTGCCGAGTGTGTCGACTACGATGGCAAGACCTTTGGCCGCCACAAGGAACGCATGTCGATTCCTGAGTTCCTCGGAGCTAAGCCCATCACTGGCCTGAATGCGTACCCTCTGAAGTTCCACGAGCAGAAAAAGGCGCTTGTGACCAGCCTCACCCACCGTGGCCTGATCTTCGAGCAGCTTGCCGGCCACCACTACAAGCAGTACGAAGGCGATGCCATCACCTGGGACCGTGAAGGCAACGAGGTCCCCGTCGATGTTTCTGGTCGCATTGTCGTCGACATAAAGAGCTTCAACAGCTACAGCCCTTACCCGTCCCGCTACCTGCGTGACTGGCGGGCCAAGGATATCGAGGCCCTCCAGGCCTACAAGCGCGAGCACGGTCTTGCTGAGAACGGCAATCTCAGGCTCACGCCTTATCTCTTGCTGATCGCCCGCTCAAGGACCAGGGGTTATTCTCTCAAGAGAAAGAAGTGGCTCGACTTCTTCGTTTCGCAGGTTCGCGAAGTCGTCTGGAACACGGACGCCTTTGACAAGCTCGTCCTCGACGAGGACCAGAAGGAACTCACCCTCGCCTTCTCCGAGGCGCAGCTCTCGGGCTCCTCCTTTGACGATGTCATCTCGGGCAAGGGCAAGGGCATCATCTGCCTGCTCTCGGGCCCGCCCGGCGTAGGTAAGACGCTCACGGCTGAGGCTGTCGCCGAGAACCTGCGTGTACCCCTGCACACCCTCAGCTCGGGCGACCTGGGCTCGCAGCCATGGGAGGTGGAGAATGGCCTGTCGCAGATCCTCGAGCTTGTGGCCCGCTGGGACGCCATTCTTCTGCTCGATGAGTGTGACGTCTTTCTCGAGGCCCGCAGCACACACGATCTCGAGCGGAACAAGGTCGTCTCCATCTTCTTGCGCACCCTCGAGTACTACGAGGGCATTCTCTTCATGACGACCAACCGCGTCGATAACATTGACGCTGCCTTCCAGTCGCGCATTCACGTCTCGCTCGAGTACCCTGACCTCACGACCGAGTCGCGTCGCGTCATCTGGAGGAACTTCCTCAACGGCTCCAAGATTGATGTGGAAGTCTCGGACGCCGAGTTGGACGAGCTCGCCGAGCTGCCGCTCAACGGACGGCAGATTAAGAACATTCTCAAGACGGCGCAGCTGCTGGCCGTACGGAAGAAGTCGGCGCTGCAGAAGGGCTTCATCGACACGGTTCTGTCGATTGAGAAGCAGCGTCCCGGCGTCAAGACGGAGTGACGTGTTTCTGGGTTTCTCTCCCTAGCATTATGATGTGATTTCAGAGCGAGCTTGAATACGATGAATACCAATTACAATACCGTGAACCATGTCAATCATGCTGCCATCTCTCAAGACCATTTGCTACTTGCAGTCGTTTGATGGATAACACGCCCTTGGTGTAGTCTAACCTGGTCGCCGCATCTATGTACGTACATACCTCGCCTCCCGAGCACAAGCTCTACAGCTTCTCCGTCCTCTTCTTCATATTCCTCGCCATGGAGAGGATCATGTTGACGTGACTCGCCAACGCCACCAAGTTCCCCTGCTCATCCAGAATCGTCACCTCGAGGTCAAACCGCCCGTTGCGGATCTCGCGCGCCATGGTCCTCATGAACAGCCACTCGACGCCCTCGGCAGGCAGCCCCCGCTTGATGTCGAGGTTCAAGACGAGCGTGGGATACCACCAGACGTCATCGGTGCGATACGGCGTCTGCGGCTCGTCGGCCGCGGGGCGCCACCCCTCGACGAGGTACGGCATGGAGTCGACGATGTAGGCGAGCACGGCATTGGTCAGGCGCTCGCCGGACGCGAGACGCAGCCAGACGTCCTCCTGGCCGCGGCGCGGGGCCGTCGTCGGGAAGAAGCACTGCAGGTTGTCGTTGGAGCGCACGAGGGGGCTGCGGCTGCG